TTTTCTCTTAGTAAAGGTTTCTCGTGAAAACTTCTCTCAAGCTAAAGTGTACATATGAGAGAAAAACCCAAAAGAAAACAATAAATTAACTAAGAGAAATTCTAAAAAAAATGCGATAATGCAAAAAATTGAAAACAATATAAAAATAATTAAGATTACTTTTTTTTTTTAAAAAAAAAGGCTTAAATAAACAGGTATGTCTTTTATAAAGCTAATTTGTCAACTTCTACGCTAAAATGGCTAAAGTATATTTTTAATTGCTTACCTTTATATATGGTTTCTTTTAAATTCCTTAATTTTATAAATTAGGTAGAATTTCAATTAATAACCATATATGATATTTAATTAGTAGTGGGTTTAAAAAAAAATCTGAAACTTCAGTTGAATCCAGGGGGATTAAAATAAAAATAATTTCAATAATGAAAAGATAAAAATACCCTTCACTTGTTATACAAAATCATTATTTATTAATTTTTTTATTTCACTTTTTAATTTATCAATATGAGTTACAAATTATATCTACTTGTTAGACAAGCAATAACATCAGTTATTAATTTACTAACTTTATTTATTAATTTATTAATATCAATTGTAAATTATTGACAAGAAAAGTTAGCAATCTAAAACCTAATATTATTGTTTGTGATTGAACAACTGATGTTAAGTTTTATTAACCATTGACATGTCAATTTATATAATTTATAATTTATATTAATAAATTAATAAGTGAAGCAATGAAATTAACAACTAATGTTTCTACATAATATAACTTTGATCTTTTTATTGTTAAAATTATTTTCATTTTGATCCCTTGGATTGAATAGAAGTTTTAATTTTTTTGAAACTTACTAGTAATTAAGTACCATTCATACTCTTTAATTAAAATTCTCCCTATAAAATATTTTTTTAATCTTTTAACCGTATTATCATTAGTTTTATTAACAAAAAATTTAAATATTGAACTTCAAAATAATGATAAAACATTTTCAAATATTAATATATTAAATTTAATTTTTTAAATAAAAATAACTGGCACAAACATTAACATTTGAAATTAATAGTATTATAATTAAATAATTGTAAAGATTTTTTATAAAATTAAAAGATTAAATTAAAATTTTATATAAAGTTAGAGCGTTAAATATACACTTTAGCCAAGATAAAATGCACAAAGCAAGAAAATTAGTAAAATTAAGGGGGAATGACATTAGGAGCCCTAAAAACAAAGTTTATTGTACTTAGGGCTTAAATCAATGTGAAATTGCTCTGCAGGCCTTGAAGCTCTAATTGCCATATTTTTTCACACCAAAAATACAATTTTGTCATTTGTTTGATTTGAATTTAGAACCTGTGTGAACTCTTGAAGCAATGGAATATATCATGTACGACATAATATTCACTATGCACAAGATGATGTCCATGCATGCTCAACAGAAAATTCATGCACTTCGAGTATTTTACTAGCTTGGGCTCTAACAAAATGACTAGGCAGACCATGCACAACACAACATCCACTATGCACCAGACTATGTCCACACATGCTTAACAGAAAGTCTATGAATTTCAAATATTTTATTAGCTTAGGCTTAACAAAATGACTACTTAAGTAAATCATGATCATACACGACGCAACATTCACTATGTACAAGACAATATCCACGCATGCTCAACAGAAAGTCCATGTATTTTTAGTATTTCACAAGCCAAAGCTCAACAAAAATGACAAATTAGGCAGACTATGCACAACACAATATTCAATTTATACAAGATGATATCCACACATGCTCAACAAAAAGTTCATGCATTTTCAATATTAAAAAGGATAATTACATCAGATATGTAGAATTTCATGTTGGTACTGACCTAGGTACTAAAACAAATACCCACATAAAATTTGACATGATATTTCAAGTTTGATATATACAAAAAGCTAGCCACTATGTTCAAAACATTTAACAATTGCTTCTCTATATACAAACAAAAAATATTTGTGATTTCCAATTACTAAAAAAATATTACTTGGAAATGCTTTTATATACATAATTATAGTTGCCTATGTACATCAAAAGGAACAATGTGACTACTTCTCATGCTGGGTTAGGATTCTTGCATGTCTTGCCATTGTGTCCAGCCTTCCTACATCTTAAACAATAATAAATCTTCTGTTATTTTAATCCGCAATGAACAATTTAATTTAGGTAAATATCCATATATATAAGTTCAACTTTTATTTTACACAACTCAAAGTTAAACATAAACAACTCAAAGTTCATTTTTGCACAGTAAATATTCCAACATCTTTGATGACAGATTTTCTTTACATTAGGAGTCATATTTTATTCAATTCACATGTCAAAGTCTAATATGAAAAAGTCAACCGTCACTATTGTACAATAATTAATCTACTCTAAAAGTTTTACAACCAACTTATTAGTTTAGCACCTTTAGCTCATATCAATAGGTTAGACTTAACAAAATACACAAATAGGCAAATAATGTATAATAATATCCACTATATACAACACAAGGTTTATATATTTTCAACTAAAAATCCATATGATTCTACTTTATCAGTAAGCCAGACTTAACATAATGCTCAAGTTAGGTAAATAGTACAAAACACAATATCTACTATACACAATACAAGGTTCATATATTCTCACCTAAAAGTTATGTGATTCCAATTTATTATTAGGCTATGCATAATAAAATGCACAACTCGACGTTCAACAGCAACTAAAAGTTCATTTTTGCACAAGAAATACTCTAACATTTCTGATAGCAAATTTTCTTCATATTGAATCATATTTTATTCAGTTCACATGTAAAAGTCCAATATGAACAAGTCAATCATCATTATTGTACAACAACTAATCTACTCTAAAACTTTCATGGCCAAAATAGTTCAATAACTTTTAGCTTAGATTAGCAGTATAATCACAAATAAACAAATAAACTTGCAGGCTTAAACATATGCGTTTCACGTGAGAGACCTATTACAACTTCAACAACTAAAAGATGCACATGCATTGAATCAACGAGGGAGAAACAAAGTTGAAGATCCTTACCTCTAAACAATAATAATAAAAGCTTCAAGAAATATATGATGTTGCTTGAATACGGAAGATTAAGAAGATCAGCAATGGCTGGCGATGTGCAAGGAAAGAGAGAAAAAATCATGAATTGTGCTTTGTCTATCAACACCCACGACTTCAACACTCATCTACGCTGGCGATGATCAACAACGGCAGAGTGATGACTAGTGAAATGAGAAAGAAGATAAGAAACATAGTGAATCATGCTTCATTTGTTTTGTTTCTTTGAGAGTTTGTGCATTATTTCTTGTTCAAATTAAATAAAGAGCAAAAATTTTGCTCTGAAAAAATATTGCAATTGGAGCGCCAAGGCCTATAAAGTAATTTCAGATTGATTTAGGCTCTAAGTATAATAAACTCTATTTTTAAAGTACTTAATGTCATTTCTCTTAAAATTAAGTGATTAATTAACTTCCATAAATTACCTGTTCATCTGTTTGGTAAAATTAATCAAATTAGTTTGTCACGATAGCGAACATGAACGAGGATAAGAAAGAACAAAGATAATGGGTACGGATTAATTAGATTACTTTCTCACAAGAACGAAACGGAAAAAGATTTTTTGGGAAGAGACGACAAAACAAACAATTTACTCAGGACCAGAAATGAAATTAAGAAATACATATGCCTTCCAAATTGGATTAATAAGTACAAATATCGGATTTCCTACATCGCACAAAATCTTAAAAAAAATCAACAGTGCTTTTCATTTGATATTCAATATTGATATTGATATAACGAGTGTTATTTTTTTTTCCCTATGATCACATAATAAATTAACAATTTCTAAAACAAATATACAATTTTTTCATTCAATTAGTCAGTTGTTATATTTATATCACGACCAAAATTATTGTAATTAAATATATTATATATAAAGTCAACAATTTTAATAGCAACGACTTAATAAAGAAGACCAGCCACCAAATTGCTTACCTGATATTTTTGATGAAATATATTTTTACATTTACCAACAAGCATATAGCTCAATCAATAAAGAATTATGCTCACTTAATTAGTAATCTTGAATATGAGTTTTGAGTATGCAATTTTATTAAAAATTTATTGGAAAAGTTTTGTGGCCAACAAGAACAGGCAAGGTGACAAATGACCACGGTTTATATTTTGAAAAATTATTAAATAAACTTGGTATATTATATAATTCATGGGTTATCCAATATTAGAATGACATTAAATATAATTTAATTTTAATACTAATAATAGTATAGATAAAAAATAAAATAAATTGGCCTAATAATCATAAAAAATATATTAATCAGAAATTATGAAAAAAGTTTTTAAAATTTTAGAATGTGGCCTATTTACAATCAGTTGGGGTGCAATTTGTCTTTTTTATCTTCAAAACAAATTAAAAAAAAAACTTGTGTAATAGAATAGCAAAATTCCTGCAACTAAATGATTATAATCATGATCCATTTATAATTATATATCACTTCGATATTTTAATACTTTTGAATAGTTCACTTATAGCTTAGTGGACATAATATATTTTTAGATTTGAGGAGAATGTGTATTTTTATTATTTTAATTTAACTTATATATTAATCCATCTATATTGTAAAATATTTGAAATATTGGGCTGTTATTTTTGATTTCATTAAATGGGTTAGATGTGTAAAATTTCCTAAAAAATAATAGATATCTTATTATAACAAAAATTTATTAAAAATAATGATATTTTATTAAATAGATGATGACAGGATGCACCTGTCCAATAAAAATTTAAAGGATCTAACAGCATGATGAAATTAAAAAAAAGGTATTCGTCTAAACAGTTAAGGAATAACAATAAAAAAAAAAAACAATGGGTCACGTAAGAAAAAGTAAAACAGGAGTCTAACCAGACAAGAAAAACAGAAAAAAAATGAAAGAGGAAAATAAGTAGTAGGGGTCAGCCTGTACCCAATGGATTGGAGATGAAGCAATCTGTAGCAAAAACAACAGAGTCACATTTTTCCAGTAGAGCGGAAGCATATATCGACAAAGGTGAGGTGAGGGGACACAGTGCTGATCAGTGCACCGAGTCCACAGGGTAGTCAGAAACTAAGACCTAAGACGATAGAGAGTAAAGTTAGAGAGAGAGAGAGAGAGAGAGAGCGGAATGAGTGGAGGTGAGGAAGAAGAGACGACATTAGAGCACACTCCCACATGGGTTGTTGCTCTCGTTTGCACTGTCATCGTCGCCGTTTCACTCGCGGCCGAGCGTTTTCTTCATTATGGCGGAAAGTTCCTCAAGAAGAGAGATCAGAAGCCACTCTATGAAGCTCTTCAGAAAATCAAAGAAGGTTCGGTACCTCTCTATCTACTTTTTTCTTTTCTTAATTTTAAAATATAATATGTGTTTTGTTGTTCTCTCTCTCTCTCCCCTCTCCTCCATTATTGGATGTGCAGTGTTCTTTTAAAATTTTGGAAGTTATTATTTATTTTTGTATTTATTGCTGTGTTCGTTTTTCAGAGTTGATGTTGTTGGGTTTTATATCGCTGCTTCTGACGGTTACACAAAATGGGATTACCAAAATATGCGTTCCTGCTGGTTTGACCCGCCATATGCTTCCTTGTAACCCGGACAGAGGAGAAGGCGAAGAATCAAAGATATCTACATCCCATTTTCAGAGCTTCTTCTCTTTTCCTGGCATTTCTGGAACTGCTCGTCGTCTTCTTGCTGAGGGGTCGTCATCTAGTAGCTATTGTGTTCGTAAGGTAACATTACACATTCCTCAGTTCACATTGGTGGGCTTTCAATTTTTTCTTTGATAGATCACTTTCTTTCAAGTTTGCCCATCAATTGCTATTATGCTTGGGACAGTGTCATTTTATCCTATCTCTGTTCACAATTTGATGTCAATTTTACCATTTTATTTTTACTTGCTTGGACGCGGAATCTGAGTCATGATTGATTGGTACCGAGTAAGCTGTAGCGTTCGATGGCATTTAATTTTTGGACGAAGATGAGATGAAAGAGGACAGCATTCTGGGACAATAATGAAGGAAGTCACAATGCTCAAGACGTAGTTCATCAATCTGTCACTGTCACTGCCAAAGCAGAATTTTACTCTATTTTTCCTTTGGGTCTCCTTTCAGTTTATAACCTTTATTTAGAATTGAGCACTGAGATCTCCTTGTTGGCTGTGAGGATGCACTTCAGACACTATAGTTATCACATTAGTTATCGAGCTTCTCGCACTTAGGATCTAACCTTGTCAATTATTTATGCCATGAATTTTCCTTTTCAATTTTTTGAACTATGATCACATAACCTCCTTTCTTTTCTTTTCAGAACAAGGTTCCGCTATTATCTGTGGAAGCCATTCACCACCTGCATATCTTTATATTTGTTCTAGCTTTAGTCCACGTAACCTATTGTGTTCTGACTGTTTTCTTCGGAGGATTGAAAGTGAGTATCTTTTTGACAATTTTGTTATAAACTATTCATGCTCACAATTTCTTTCTTTATTAATAATTCATCTGTTGTTGTATAGATACGTCAGTGGAAGCACTGGGAGGATTCAATTGCTAAAGACAACTATGAACCACATAAGGGTAAGTGGTTTGATCAGCAGTTATAGTGTATGCTTTGTGTTCACTTATTTTAATCAATCTGTAGACTCTTTGATAGATGTTTTTCAAGTCATTACGATGCTACTTTATAAATATTATCCCCTTTTTTTGCGAGCCATGAGCCCACTGAAAAGAAATGATTTAACAAGTTAGATGATCTATTTAACTCCTTTAGTAGCTGTCTTTTTTGAGTATTTTTCTTCTCCGTTGCTCCTTACATGAAAATTGGATTACTGCAGTTCTGGAACTGAAGATCACTCATGTTCACCAGCATGCTTTTATTAAGGGTCGTTTTCTGGGTTTTGGTAAAGACTCTGCTCTGATGGGTTGGTTGGTAAGTTTTTCACAAGCTAATCAGGATCTGAAACTTAGAATTGATGATGATATATTCATGTCACTCATGCTTAAAACTACTTCTGAACCCCTTATTTGAAGATTTAGGCATGTTCTATATAGGGCATGCTAACACATAATCTATGTTTCTTCAGTATTTTCCTGCTTTTCCTTGTCCAATAAAGCTTAATATTGAGCCATTTCTGTTGAGTCTTTGTCCTTCTTGTGTGTCCACCTTAGTTGATATCACAAGGGACCATGACCTTCTAAAGGAGTGGAATCAGCACGTGGTATAAAATACTGCAGGGAAAGGAGTAATTTTGCCTGCATCGGCTATTGGTGATTCCACTCCTTTTCATATAACTGTTTCCTTATTAGTTTGATTATCTCTATTTAGTTCTTTTCTTTATGTTCTTGAGCTCAGATCAATGAAGTCCTCAAGCTTTTCCAGAATTGTTGATAACTTGGACCACATGACAAATCATTAATTCCAGAAACTCGTGCTAAATTCCTACTTGATTGTTTTTTTAGTTTTAGTTATTCATCTTAATCTCGCAAATTTCTTGCAGCACTCTTTTTTCAAGCAATTTTATGGCTCGGTGACCAAGTGGGATTATGTGACTTTACGGCATGGTTTTATCATGGTAAGTTTTAGGATGCAATGTGATGTTTGCTGCATATTTATCCTTGATATGAATATTTGCAAGTAGCCTCCAAGTAGGGATGTCAAGATCATTCTTTTGTGTGTTTCTCTGTTTTAGACTCACTGCAAGTCAAATCTGAAGTTTAACTTTCACAAATACATGATACGTGCCCTTGAAGATGATTTTAAACGAGTTGTTGGTATAAGGTAAGTGCTTCTGTGGATTTGATTTGTAATCAGTAATAACAATAATGTTGTTGTGCGTATCATGCTGGCTGATCACTTAGACTGCCCTATCTTTCTTGTTTGTCTTGTGACGTGAGGGAACTGATTCTGTACTCATGATCATACTGTTTTTGGTTGCAGTTGGTACCTTTGGATCTTTGTGGTCATCTTTTTGCTGCTTAATATTAATGGTACTCATGATCATTCTGCCCTATCTAATTGTTTCTTTTGGCCTTGTTAGTTGTTGAAGAACATTACTTTCTGTCTCCAAATTCAGATATTTTCTTTGATCTTACAGGCTGGCATACATATTTTTGGATAGCGTTTATTCCTTTTTTTGTAAGTATCTTGATCAGATTTGTTTCACTTTCTGTGGACATGTGTCTTGTAATGTGCATCTAATTTATTCAGTTTATATATTCATCATGTGTCAAATATGTTCAAATAATATAAAAGAAATGAAAACAGTTGGTCATACGTTTATTTAGTAATCCATTTAAGTATACTCATATTAGGCCAAACTCTTATTTCTATGCTGTGCTATAATTTTCTGATTCCTTTCTTCTATCAGCATGGCTTCTAGTGAATTGATCTTAAATGATCCTTTGAATTTGAATGTAATAGCAGATAGTGTAGCTTTGTTACTTATTGAATCAACTTCTAATAAGAGTAGGTAAATCTATTGGGGTTTTGAATGCCTTCATAGCTGGATAGGCTTTCACAGAAACCCACATATTTTAGAAGTGATCTAATATGAGAGAATGGCGCTGGTGCATCTACTCCCCTAAATTGTAATTATATATATATATATATATGTCTTTGTTTAAGCCTGAGAAATAAAAAATTTGTCAAAAGTTAATTATATTTGTACATTCTCCTCATTCCTTTCAATTTTGGCCTCAATAGCATGTGCAGCCATGCAAATTAAATTTCATGGGCATCCATGGGTAATCTCTTTACAAAGAATATATTGGTGGAAAATGAGAAATCAAAAGCGGTCAACCTTTTTGTATGTTGGTCACGAGCTTTTGTTTAAGCTCAGTACACAGATAACATGTCACCTTGGTTTTTTAAAGTTTTTTTTTTTACATTCAATGCTCTGCAAAATTTGATTGAGAGTGACTCCTTGTTTAGTATTATGTTGGAGTTTTGTTTCCAGTTTTTGAGAAACGCATTGCATGTCTTTTAGATGCTGCCCTTTTTTTTTTTTCAGCTTCATTTTCTTGTCAACAGAATATAGACAGACATGTAATCTCACAATGCAGCTTAATCTTCTAATTTTCTTTTAGATTCTTTGATACCAATTTTTTATCTCTTTTTATACCACTGTACGGATTTGCATTCTTTCAGCTTCTACTAGCTGTGGGCACTAAGTTGGAGCATGTAATAATACAATTAGCTCACGAAGTAGCTGAAAAGCATGCTGCTATAGAAGGTGAATTGGTTGTTCAACCATCAGATGCTCACTTTTGGTTTCATCGGCCTCACTTCTTTCTCTTCTTGATTCACTTCATCCTTTTCCAGAATTCTTTTGAGATAGCGTTCTTTTTCTGGATATGGGTGAGCAAATTCTTTTGGAGCATAATTTGTTATAGGTTGACATTCTATATGATCTCATAGTTGTAATGTACATAACCTTACCATCTTAAGTATCTCAGGTTACTTATGGCTTTGATTCCTGCATAATGGGACAAGTCAGTTACATTATCCCCAGGCTCGTCATAGGGTAACTGTTACACTTCCTTCTCCTTTTGAACTGTGAATTATTTCAGGGATAAATTTTTCTGTTAGCATTGTAGTTTCACTTAAAGGTTTGTAACTGGACTTGTGGACTGTAGTCTTAGAAAACTTTTTAATTTGGTTGCTGTCATGTAATCACTGCCAATCTGCCACTGTAATATAAAAATAGACGTGAGGTAAAATCATGAAATTCATTCAAGTATATTTGATGCTTTCTAAATAAAGTGATTAGCTTGAGTTGTGGTATGAACATGCGTATATACAACAACAAACAAGGAGAAGAAGTTTGATCCCACTAGGTGAGGTCCGCTACATGAATTGTACGATGTCATTGTGTTTTATCATCATCATGCACCTATAGAGTATTAAAATTAAAAGTAGCTCATAGCTAGCTATATTAACAAAACTCAACAGCCCTCAGATGAATGTTCATCAACAGGGACCAAGTTAAATTTTGTTTTAAGAACTGTAGGGACCTATACTTTTAAACTATAGAGATTAAATTTGAAAGTAAATGAAACTTTGGGGACCTTTTGTAGTTTAATATTGTTTCTTTGTTTACTTATTTTATGCATGCTGAAGTTTAATCTTCTCCCTCTCTATTTTCTTTGTCCTTTGTGTTGGGATTTCAGAGTATTCATTCAGGTCCTTTGCAGCTACAGCACTCTACCTCTGTATGCACTCGTCATACAGGTATGTTTGAATTGCTGTTCAAATTGAATTGGATCATCGCATGGCAAGATATTACGTAGAACTTCATTTTAGTTGCGTCTTACAGTTTATTACCAATCAACCACAAAATAATTCAGGCATTTCATTTATTATTCCCTTTGAAATATGATCTGTTGGAATTTAAATTGTCATAACTTATGTAGATTATTTGATGAGGGTATAATTGGAAATATGTACTCCCTCTATTTTCAAATTATAAGACACTTTTGAATAAAATTTTATATATCAATAAATCTCATTAAAAATGCTTAACAACCTTATTTTTTCAAAACAAATATATAAACCTCCAAAAATGCCTTTCATTTAATATATTGAAAAAAGATAGGGGTGTAAATTGAATAGAGAGAGAAAGGGCATTGTTGGAATAATCCTATTTAATGTAATATTAATATTTTTAAAGTCTCTTATATTTTGAGATATCAAATCTCCTTTGAAAGTGTTTTATAATTGGGAACGGAGAGAGTGCAATTTTTATAAAAATTAAGGTTTCAACTATCCTTGTTTTGAAAAATGTGAAAAATTTTCAAAATCCCGTATGTGGATCGGAGGGAGTATGTTATATCTTCACAAAGAGAACACCCCAGCCCCATGCTTTAAATTCAGGGCCGAGGCATCATTGGATTACCACGTGTGTGATTGAAACAATGTGTAGATGGGAACTCACTTCAAGAAGGCAATATTTGATGAACATGTGCAAGTGGGGCTTGTTGGTTGGGCACAAAGAGTGAAGAAGAAGAAAGAGCAGAAAAGTAATCATTCTAGCCAACAGCGAAGCTCTCATGAAGGTTCTTCCTCTGTGGGACTTCAAATGGCTTCCATTTCCGAAAGAGCATCTGCCCCAGAAGGCAATCCTCCTCCCCAAAAACCTGAGGGCTCCGCTTGAGTCCGTCCATCAAATGTAAACGAATGGTTTGGTTCTTGGATGTTCAAAGATTGTTGAGCACATGATGATGAGTTGATTCATGACTGTAACTTATACTTGCATGTTTTGTTTTGTTTTGTTTTAAAATCATCAAAGTGATAGGTGTTGAAACTTGATTTACTTCTACTTGCAACTATTTTTTTATGCGTTTGTAAGTTTTCTTTTATTTTATTTTTTTGGTGGGAACATGTTTATGGGAAAATCTCATTCAAGGACCTCTAAGGCAACAAAATAGCATACAAGGACCAAATAAATTTGAAATTGCACTATAGGACTTAAGTGCTCAACTGAAATTGTATATTATTAGTTCATTATCAAAATATCCTTTTGTTTATTTTGTAAAAATCCATCACTGTTGTCGGCATTTGTGCATTGTAGAAAAATATTTAATCTATACAATAAATTGATTGATATTTTAATTATATAAGTTCGTTATTTTTTTTAACCTCTTACTTTCTTAATCATGGTAAATTGAATTCACTGAACTAATTAATATGGAGTATTGCTTGGTCCTCACTCAAGAAAATTGTGAAATTAAGTCATGGAGTTTTGCCTAGTCCTTGCTCAAGAAAATTATGAAATCATGTCATGTAATGAGTTTCATATTGACACAAGAGTCTTACCGTTGTCCGACGATCAAAATTCAAAATTTATCTATGATTGATATTTCATATTTTATGTGAATAGATTTATAAAAAAATATGTAAATGTGAACTATTCATGGCTACTTATTCAAAAAAATTGTGAAATTAAGCATGAAGTATTGCCCGGTCTTTACTCAAGAAAATTATAAATTCAAGTCATGCAAGAAATCCCATATAGACACAAGAGTTTTACCCTTGTAAAATCATCACAATTTATCTATAATTCATATTTCATATTTTATGTGAATAGATTTATAAAAAGTATGTAAATGTGAACCATTCATGGTTACATACTCAAGAAAACTGTAAAATCAAGTCATGGACTTTTGCCTAGTCCTTACTCAAGAAAATTATGAAATCAAGTCATGCAATGAATCTCATATTCTCCGTGAGAGTCTTACCTGTGTCCAATCATCAAAATTCAAAATCTATCTATAATTGATATTTCATATTTTATGTGAATAGATTTATAAAAGTCATCTAAATGTGAACTATTCATGGCTACCTATTCAAGCGAATTGTGAAATCAAGTCATGGAATATTGCCCTGTTCTTACTAAAGAAAATTGTGAAATCAAGTCATGCAATGAATCTCATATTCTCCACAAGAGTCTTACCCGTGTCTAGTCATCAAAATTCAAAATTTATCTATAATTGATATTTCATATTTTATGTGAATAGATTTATAAAAGGTATCTAAATATGAACTATTCATGGCTTCTTACTCAAGAAAATTGTGAAATCAAGTCATGTCCCCAATCCTCATTCAAGAAAATTGTGAAATTAAGTCATGTAATGAATCTCACATTCCCCACAAGAGTCTTACCCTTGTCCAATCATCAAAATTCAAAATTTATCTATAATTGATATTTCATATTTTATGTGAATAGATTTACAAAAGGTATGTAAATGTGAACTATTCATAAATTATAATTATAAATAATATAATTATGTATAAAAAAATACGATTCATTTTAAATTTATATAAATAACTAAATATATAACACTTTAATGGTTAGTTGGTTATTTTTTTAGTTCTTATTAAAATACATTTTCAGTATTATCATCATAATCTAAAAAAAGCTTAAAACTCATTAATTGTCTGAAAATTATGAAAGTTTTCAATCTTACCTTTATTTAAAATCATGAATCATGATATAATTTAAAAATAATAATCAACGTTAAATAAAAATATGAAATATATTAATAATTAGCTCATATGGTCTAAATATAAGTACCAAAAATTTCTGGACTGGATGGAGTATGCTGTGCAAAATCTTTTACTTGAAATTATTTTCTTTCTTTCTTTCGTATAGAGGTGATTTGAGTTTGCAATACCTGACTATGAATGAATCATGATTTTAATCCAAAAAAAAAAATTATTTTCTTTTGCTGGTCCTACCGCGTCTGGATGGTCCATTTCTCCCCAATTGACCCATTACGGTCGGGTCTGACTCTCGTCTCCCAAATCATTTCGAACTATTTTATCCGTAACAGAGGATAAGAGTCTAGCTTCCTCTAGTCCATATGGTAGCAAGCTTCTAACTTCTGAAGTTCCCACTGTCTGGTTCTATTTCTCTTCTCTGCAGAGCGCGAAAAAAGATCGATGGTTTACCTCTAGATTTTAACATTCCAGAGATACAAACAATCATGTCAACTTTATCAGTTTCTTCATCGGTTTCGCCTCCTCTATTCTCTCGCCACAATGCCGCTTCTACTTCGTGCTTAACATGTTCTCTCAAAATTTCGCGTTGTCCAATCAAGAACCCATTGCTGAAATTGCACGAATCGCTCCATTCGAAACTGTACGCAGAGTCTAATGGAGGCAAAAGACCGGTGAGAAGCGTGGTGGTTATGAGCATGGAGGCTGGTATAGGAGTAATGGGCACAAAATTAGGGATGATGAGCTATTTCGAACCTGACGGCAAGGTTGTTCCGGTGACTGTGGTGGGTTTCAAAGAAGGGAATATTGTGACTCAGATTAAGACTGAGGCTACTGATGGGTACATTGCTGTCCAAATTGGATATGAAAGGGTGAGGGATCGAAAATTGACGAAACCGGAGCTGGGTCATCTTGAGAAGGTGGATGCTATTCCTATGAGACATCTTCAGGAGTTTCGTCTTCAATCTGTGGAAGGGTTCGAGCCTAATCAGCGACTTGTGTTGGATGAGATTTTCAAGGAGGGGGATCTTGTTGATGTCTCAGGCATCACCATTGGCAAGGGGTTTCAAGGTTTTTCCTTCCCTCTATCTCATTCGCTCTGTGTTCCTCTGTGCATAACTTCAGAATGATGTTGTGTTGACAGTTCAGTGATTTCAACATACTGTTATATTGCATTCGTATTATAACAGAGAAAGGAATACATAATGTTAATCCCAGGATTTTCAGCTCATCGAGCCTTCCTATTTAAGCTTTCTAACTCCTTAGATGCCAGCAGTGTAGCTAAGACGGGTACTCTGTTGTTAGTGTTGTGTTTTGGTTATTAGCGGTGTCTAGTGATGATGGAGTCCTTATATTGTTTCCTTGAGCAAGTAACTGGTACAGAGATTTTTTTTTTTTTTAATGGAGATGTTTCTTGCTTTTTCTTGAACAGTGATACAAAAGGTTATGCTATGTTTTCCTTTGGATAGTGTTTAAGTCTTCTGTTTTCTTGCTTTTATGACTATGCCTTTGTTGCTGACTGCCAATACATAGTTCGAGATATTCTGTCTATTTTCTTGATGATGGATATATCTATGATATGAATAACCCTTTTTTCCCCTCCTTTTGGCGTTGCAAACCTTTGGTTAACATTTCTAGATATTTGATTGTTGATAGAGCACGTTGGTGTCATATAATCATGTAGCTAATTTCACCTAGTGGGATGAGGCTTCTGTTATTTGGTATTGCAAACCTACAAATGGCATTTTTTTTTCCCCGGTACTGTACAAGGGTCAAAGACTTGAGGAAGAACAAGTGAAACGAAAGCAAATAGCTGCTTCCTTATTGAGTGCCACCAGTTCTAAAATCACTAACCATTATTAATTTTTGTCTTCTTAAGTTGGTGCTGGTTATTTTGTTCGCCTTGCACAGTTGCATGTGTTAACTACGCTTGTTGCTTGTCCCGTTCGATGCATATTGCTCACACTGATGGGAAAAGGCAGCTTCTTCCTTTTTCTATAATACGATGATATAATTTTATCATGTTCACTTTGATGTCGTATCCTAGTGACAAGGTAAACAGAAGCTTGTGTTGTAATTATTCAACAATTGGTGTCTCTTATTATTATTATTTTTAAATAAAGGCATACTGGTTATTTTTCCTTTACAAAATCAAACTAGGGGTTGGTGGGGAAAGAAAGATAGACTTTCAAGGGAGATACCATTTAGAGAATGAACTATTCGGTTCTAAGCCACTTTTGAATCCATTTACTAGTATAGCTATATCTGATAACAAAGTCTAACCCGGCACAAGAACTCATATCACTTTGAACTGATTAATGAGTGCTTGGCTTCATCTTATTTGAGCACCTAACAAACCTGAAACTTTAATCTTGTTTTAGTTTCCTTCTCATAATGTTAAATTCATTGCCTAGCAGCTGAAGTGGATGATCAGTTACGTTGATTGTGGCCTGCAACGATTTGGATTTGGTATAGTTGCTTCCTTTTTGCTGCCCTTTCTAATGCCCAAAATCTCAGCCCTTCATTTGGGGAAATTAGCTGAAATTGCTCTGACCATTAGCTGAAACGAAGGGCTGAGATTTTGGACAGAGGAGGCAGTAGAAAGGGCAACAGACACCTCAAATCCCAACAATGCACCGTAAATAGATTGAGGTCCATAATGTTTGAAACTACTATGACAGGTGGGATCAAGCGTCACAACTTCAAAAGGGGTTTGATGACCCATGGTTCAAAGAGTCACAGGCAGCTAGGATCAATCGGTGCAGGAACGACGCCTGGGCGTGTGTACAAGGGGAAGAAGATGCCTGGGAGGATGGGAGGAACAAAGACCAAGATCAGAAAGCTCAAGATTGTCAAGATTGATAAAGATCTTAATGCTGTCTTGATCAAAGGCGCTCTCCCTGGTAAGCCTGGAAATCTCATCAGGATTGCTCCTGCCAAGATTGTAGGCAAGAACATTCCCAAGAATTAGTAGATTTTTTCCTTCCCTCGTTGGTTCTTTCTTTCTCTATTGGCTTCATTAGTTTAACTGTAAGTTTTTTTAACACTCTCTCCCACCTAGGCCAATAGCCTTATGTCACTATTACGCCATTGTAATTCTCGTTTCTTGCCAATGAATGAGCTATACAGTACCTTATGTTGAATATTCTTTGTTTTTGGTGAAATCAGATGTGTTTCCTAGTTTATTAGATGGAGTTTGAGAGATAAGCCACAATGTTTATATCTTATAAATAGTTCATCTTGTTATAAATGCTACCTTTTTTTTTTTGGGCATATGTATATTGCAATTCTAATTCCATGTTTAGATTTCATGCTGGTAATAATTACACTAAAAGAATCTTAGACTTCAAAATTTCTCTCAGTGGTGCTTTTCATGGTTACACTAATTTTTCTTAAGATTATAACTTGGTCTTTCCAATGTTATGAAAATGTTTCATCATCCATTATTTCAATCATAAATTACACTTAGCGGATAAAGTAAGGGAATAGGTCCCAAAACATTTAATTAGTGAAAGTTAAGTTCCTGATAATATTTTTAAAAAAATTAAGTTGAAAATATCAATCTGAATAATTATAAATTCAAGAGTTTTAATTATAAATAAGTATTTGAATATCAAATATAACTCTTATATTATAATAAGAATTTTTATTTGTAACAGTTTAAATTGAGATTTACAATTTATTTTGTAAAAATTCTTGTTGGGGATCTCAGTAATTCATGCTTTTAGGATTTAATTGTCATTCTACCATAAAGTAATATGTAATTTTAGACCAAATCTTTAGTGGAAAGAAAGATTTGTTGGCTGACGGAGGAAACATTGGGTTTTATGGAGAAATTTAAGGGATGAATAATTGAAAAGAAATGGATGATGTCTAAAAAATTATAATTCTTTCTTTTTTTTTCCTTAATAAGAAAAATTATATCTTTCTTTCATTGAGAAAACCAATGCATTAAAACCTGTATTAGTCATTGAATCAATTGAGATAATAATTTAAGGAGTTAGTGATCTAACTAGAGGTCAACCCAAATCAACCAAGTCACATTTTAAATAATATAATTTGATTAAATATATAAAAATATTCATATGAAAGACTATAATATTTAAATAGAAGTCTTTAATTTTGAGTACATAAAAAATTTATCCATAAAATCTTATGCATGTCTTGTAGAAATGATAATTATAAATTTTTGATAATAATAAAATACAATAGCATTAAAATTATTAATTAAAAAATTTATATTTGATTTAGGGTTCAATATCCAGAAGAAGCAAGAAAAAAACAAAGAAAAATAAAATTAATAAAACATGAGCTAGGTCAATCCAATAATTCATCGGGTTGGTTGGGTTTGTTTGGATTGAAACTGATTTGATTGGGTTGAAGTTGGGTCATAAATGATTGAATTTCTTAATCAATCAGATCAGTTAGGTGACCAATTCACTAGTTTATGTGTCAACTAAGCTGAATTGATTGGGGTTTACAAATAATGGAGAAAATGGTATTTTTAGAAATTTGTGATAAAATGAATTAGTGCTAAATCTCAGAAAATTCAATTATTTCATTTTTGGTTCTTTGTTTTCCTTTTTTAATACTGTTAATTAACCATAATGGCTACCTGAAATTAAATTAATTTATTCAATAATTATGACAATTTCATCATAGCAGCAATACAAAGAAAATATATTTAATGTTTCTTCTTTTCTTCAGCACCAAATTCATGAAACTAAACCAAAATGATATTCATTCTCCATTATTCTCATCACAAATTGCGCTTCAACTTTGTTGATAAAAACTTCATGTAAGTATTTATTATCATAAAAAAATTATAAAGTGATGATTTTTTTTGCATGAAATATAAAATTGAGAAGAAAGTAACAAATGTTTCTATGAAGTCAAAATGCAATAAAACCACTTACAGTAATCGATCCTTATGGTTGTCTCTATTAAACGTTACACTTTAAAATTAAATAGATTAGCATTCAATAGAATTATTGCCCTCATGCCGTGCTAATTTTTTGTGTTTGTGGGTTTTGCTTCTAATTAGATATAAAATGTTAGAATTAAAAAAATTAAGATAATATGCCACTTGAATAATAAATATTCATAATATTATGGAAAAACACTACTTTTAATTTTTACACTTTACTTGCATTAGTATAGGTTCATGTACTTTTTTCATGATATTCTAGATCTTTACATTTTTTTAACATTTGTAATGTTGGTCCTTATATTTTTATAGGAACACAAACGGTCTTAATAATCTTAACATGTCAATTAATACTATTAATATTGTACTGATATGTCTGATTGATGTTGATATGAACTTTTTAATGAGATTTTTTTTTTTGAAAAAACCTACATAAGATGAAATAAGGATGCTAACATAGATTTTTTAATAATCAAAAATTAAAAGAAAATGCTTACATCATATGAAATAAAGATGCTAACATGAAATTTTTAACAAGCAAAAATTTAAAGAGTCTAATTCAACCTTTTCTATTTTATTTGATGTTTTTTTTTAATTTTTTCTCATTAAAAAATCCATGTTAGTATTATTTTAACACATAAGCACAAAATTAAATGTTGTCAATTCAATATTATTAACATTTGTGTCATATCAACATTTTTTTGAAAATGTCAAAACCAACATTACAGATGAAAAAAAGTGTGGAGATCTGAAATATTAAAAAAAAAAGTAAAGACATATTTCAAAACTTAAGCAAAGTACAAGAATCAGAAGTAGTGTTTTTTTTACTATCATATAAAAAAATAATGACAGTAATTAATAAGTCAATTAAGTTTAAGTTCCATAAAATAAAACTCCTATAATCTACTCTCCTTCCCTTAATGATATACTTTTGTTTGATCTTTATTAACTTTGACCAATAACATTCTAAAACTAAAGATGATAATTAACAAACTAAATTAAATAAGTTCCATTCACATAACTCCTAAATAATAAATCTCTCTAATATTTATTAACTAATATATAATATTAATTGAGTTTATATCCTTTCTCTTTAAAGGCATCCTCTAGGTTGAAGTGATGGAGTGAGTTGGATAGATCCATCTAAGACTCTCTTAATGTCTTGTTTAAGTTCTTCTTCAGTGTATCCATGGCCCTTACATGCAGAATATTCACTTTTATCATTATTTGCATATTTCTGTTGATTCTTGTAACATTCTTTAATTAATTTCCTCTGCAGATTTTGCAGTGATTAAGTTTGTAAGCAAATCCAATTCACCTTACACGAACAGTTCTGGGTTTGAAACCATGGCTTCTTTAAACATCATGTTTTGATGGAGACTCCATTGATTATTCTCAGAGCTTGAGCTTCCAGCCATGAAGGAAATTATGGAATAAATTATTTAAGCAAAAAAAAAAGTATTATTTGTAATATCCTCACCGTAAAACATGCGATCTTATGAAAAATGCAAACTGCATGAGTTTGCTTTGACTGATGACGTACAACACGTACGGTGTTTACAGGGGGGAAAATGAAATTTATGATTCTGTGTTAAATAATGAAAATATCGTTTTTAGGAACTAATATATGTCATGCAATCAGTGATAAATTTAAATATTCCTCTTAAGCCTTAACAAGAGAATTTTTTTTGGGCATTTTATTCTCATTCTTGTAAATTCAAATAACGTTTTGAAAACTGCACGGGAACAGTTAGATTTAAAAAACAAAAAAAAACCTGAAAGAGTTAGATAATAATATTTATTAAATTAAATAATTTGTTAAGTCCAAAATTAAAACCATACAGACATATAAATTTAATTATTGAGTTACAGTAACTATAATTTAAAGTAAAAATGACAATAGCAACAACCACAACTTAAAATCAAGTGTACAATAATTATAGATGACCCAAGCTTTAAATACTATAGTGATAATAAAGCCATTGAATTACATAACTTAAGTGAATACTATATCGTTATGCTAAAAAAACATAAAATAAATAAAAAATATATACTTTGACCTATCTAAATAAATAGAGTATTAAATATTAACAAAAAATAAAAAAAATAATACATTTGGGATGTGATGAGATCTCTCAATAATAACCTGTCCATTCTGAATATATTTTTGTTCACAAAGTCTCATCCTATTTTTATGAGGACAAAACAAATTCATCTCAACATGATCAGAATGAAATCAAGCTGATTGAAACAAGATAAACATTAACATTTCTAATTTATATAAATTGGGACTTGAGATTTTACATACTTAAGTAATCATATCCCCTTTTGTTAGGACAACTATTGGTTACCAATTTTTGTAAAAGCTTATGTTTTGGAATCAACCTAAAATACCAACCTCCTCAAGATGTATTTGGCAAAAAAAAAAAAAAAACAGAGAGAATTACACATAAGTCTCAAGACAATTAGTTACTTTTCAATTTATTGATAACTGAATTCAGGAAAATAACAATAGACCTGAGAGTGATTAATTATCTTAAATAGGTCTTGAATGCAACTCTCCCAGAGAGAAAACCTCTTAAAGATTTAGAAACATTATTTTCTTTTCCGCAATTTTAAAATTAACAATGAAAAGTTTAGGAAAGTCAGCTTATCCTCTCAAAAATCCATTTAAATATTTGAAAAATTGGATACAAAAGATCTAATTTCGTTTTTTAAAACGTATAGCTAATCAAAATTTAAATTTTTATTTCAATATTATCTATCCATTACTTTATTTTAAAAAATTCTTGAATTACAACTATATTTTAATTTTATTTATTAAATATTAGCTATAATACGATAATTTAGCACTAACAAAATGAAAAATTGAATCAATACAGAATTCTCTTATTATTTACATGAGATTATTCAAAATTAAAATTATTCTAAATAAAAATAATTTCAAAATTAATCACAACTAAAAATTAAATTATCATTTGACCCAGGAAAGGGGGAAAAAAGTTCCGTTTGGACGGGAACATACAAATGTCGGCGTGCTGACTACGAACGCATCTCCGAACACTGCTGCTTTGCACATCACAGCCGCCGGAACTCCGATGCTAATATGTGATCAAACGGAGGAAGACGATTGTCCCTTGTTGAGTGGTGAGTTGTGACCCTCATAGCCCACAATTTCTCAGAATGGACGAAACAGGCGCGAAACCCAAAAGAAGCGGTGCTCGTTTGTGCTACACGTGCAACGAAAGAAGAGCAGCCCTCAAAAGACCCAAAACTCTCGAACAGGTCCCTAATTTATCCCACAAACATGTTTCCAGACCATTGTTTGGTTTTAGTTGGAAACTTGATTGATTTCTTTCTCTTTTCTTTTATGTAACTCTGCGATTGGATGATATGATTTCGGTTGTTTCAAACTTGGGAGGAGAGATACCCAATCAACTGCATCAGCCTTGTTATGGAACTGGCACTATTTAGTTTCAGTGGGGAATTTGAGTGATTTCTTGTTTGTTTCTGTTTTGCAATTACGCAATTGCATGCTTTATTTAAAAAAGTTTTTCGAAAGTGTATAAATTTAGCGAAAGGGTTGTATGGTGTTTTTTACCAATTCCGTTTTCTCAATTGTTGTTTTATACATCCTATGTTTACCAAAGAACATCTGGATCTCTTCAATTTATTCTGGGGAGGGCTGGGGACATTTTTGTCTTCTGGAATTAGATTACTGACACTTCTGATTTTACGAACCTTAAAGATTTGCAGGGAGTGTTTTTATGATGTTTTTGAGGAGGAGATTCATCAAGTTATTGTGACTAATCAGTTATTCAAGCCAGGTGAACGCGTCGCTCTTGGTGCTTCTGGTGGAAAAGGTAAATATCTATTTAGAACTCATTGTTGACAGTTTGCATAGATCAAACTTACACTGTTAAAGCTTCCCTTGATAAAATTTCACAGTGCCGTTTCCATTGTCACTTGAATGATTTCTTGGCTTTGGCTTCTCAAAGTTAGACTAGGAAAATCTTATCTTCACCAAAGCTGGTTTTTATAGATATTGGAATTCAGTTGGATCATGTTTGGTAGTTAGTACAAATGATTAGGCTTCTTATGGAAGTCATGCTTAACTTAAATAAAGGAAGAGGCTTCATTTGCTTAGGCTATGGAAAGGAGGTTTCTTTCTTTCTTTGTTTTTTTTTTTTTTGGTCTACCAGCATTTGAACCTTTGCCCAAGTGCTTCATGGTCAAGTAATGAACCACAAAGGCAAACTTCAGCTGGTTAAAGGAGGTTTCTTTCATGGAACCCGAAAGCAAGATTCCCATTTTATCCCAAGTTATCAATTATTATGACCATTTTGTCATTTATTGAGATGTAGAATGTGCGCGTGCGTGTGTGAGATGAGATGCAGAACAGTTTTTTTGATGAGATGAGATGCAAGACATTCCTTCAAAATATAGATTTGGTCAAGCAAATTAAGATACTTAGTTTTTTTATCCTCCTAAAACTTAAAAGGGTAAATATGTAATTTAATTATATACTTCTTCCTTTCCAGCCTTGAATGAACTTTTATCGTACACACTCACCCTTCTGCTGTTGCTTCATTGTTTGGCTGTTTTTTTTTTTAGAGTTGTTTATTCTGAGTTTCATATTTGATCTTTTTATATATTGGGTTTATCGTTTTGACCAAAGTGATGAAATTCTGCAGTCTATGGCAATGCAATATATAAATTCACAGATTTTCTATTTTCTTCTGTTTTTATTTCATTCAAAACTGTTTATTTCACCATATATTGTGAGTAGTTAATTACTTGTCATTAGATATTTAATATTCTCTTGTCACTTATTACAATGTACATGTTTTGCAGATTCAACAGTCCTGGCTTATGTATTGTCAAAACTAAATAAGAAACATGACTATGGCCTTGATCTTTTCCTCTTATCAGTAGATGAGGGCATCACTGGGTATCGAGATGACTCCCTTGAAACTGTTAAGAGAAATGAAATTCAGGTAAAAGAGTTTTTACTTTTGGCAGTTTACAGTAAGTTTTTCAGTCTAGTTGATGCCATTTTTCAACAGACAAGCTAAGCTACATTGTCATATTATTTGATGTCAAATAATTTTTGTCTTGTGTCCCATATGGTCAAATGTTTTTGACTTGATTATTTTGGAATACTGTTATTCTAGTGGTTTCTTAGATTTGTCTATGTTAGTGTTGATCTCCTGCTCATTTCTTTAGGTTCTAATCCTGTATCTTTAAGTCAACTGAACTACCCTGCATTTAAGTCAAGATATTAGATACATGCTTTTTTAAATATGTCAAAATATTTCTGTAATGTTTCTTTCTTTACATTATTAACCTTTGTGGCTATACTTTGTCGACCTGTTAACTCAACTCTGGCAGTACTTTTCCCCCATTTCAGTATGGATTGCCTTTGAAAATCATATCTTACAAGGACTTATATGGATGGACAATGGATGAAATAGTGAAGGTCATTGGTTTAAAGAACAATTGCACCTTCTGTGGAGTCTTTCGTCGGCAGGTATTTCTACAAATTCCTTTAAAATTATGTGACCAATTCGCAAGCATTAATAAGAATTGATATACTTCTACTGGAGCATTTGTCTTCATATAGCTCATACGTGGATAAATTCCCCGCCATTTGTCACCAAAAAGTAGATATGTAACCTCAACATTCATTCTGGACTCATAGTTCCATCTTTGTTTCTATGAGGGCATTTTCTTGCTTATGGGCATTTTCTTGCTTATGATCTTAAGTTACAGATGAAAGTGGTGGAGAAGGTAACCAAATATGCATGACAATGTGATGGAACCAAAGTAGTATTTGTTTACTGGAGTACTGTGGCTCAAATTTGATATTTTGCATAAAGAGTTTGGGCATCTGTAATAGATGATCTTTGCCACAATAGTCACCTGCAAATGCACATGCTTGTCAATTAATGAATTTTGATTCCTCTGGAATGGTGGAGGAATCACCCATCTCTGTTTTGGCTTTGCCAAATTAATTGGGGAGCTGGCAGAAAGCAATTGTAGTATATTATCAAGCGTGTTGGATTATTTCTATTTATGATTTCTTTTCAACAGGCTCTTGATCGAGGAGCTGCATTGCTGAAAGTTGATAAGCTTGTTACTGGCCATAATGCTGATGATATTGCTGAGACAGTTCTCCTGAACATATTACGAGGAGATATTGCTAGGTTATTTACTAAAATTCAAAGCTCCTTTATTTATTTATTTTTGGTACAGAATAGAGATTTTCAGTTTGGGAAAAAAATTGATCTTAGTTATTTTGGTCTTGCATAGGTTGAGTAGATGCACTTCAATAACCACGGGTGAAGATGGGCCCATTCCCAGATGTAAACCTTTTAAATATACATATGAAAAGGAGATCGTAATATATCCTTGTTGTTGAAAGTTGTCAATGATTTTTTCTTTAGCTATTTTTCTTGCGTTTTTCTGTCATCACTTTGATCTTGGTAGCTGCTAGTCCTTGACCACTTGACTACGTATGCATATTTCAAGCGGCTGGACTACTTTTCCACAGAATGTAATGTTTATCTTTCCACATCAAACAAGTGTCATGCATATTTGTTTCTTGAACTGTCTAACATAGCATTCTCTTCAAAATGGCAGGCATCTATTCTCCAAATGCATATCGTGGTTTTGCTCGTGAGTTCATCAAGGATTTGGAAAGAATTAGGTGGGTTTTTAAGATTTAGTTTTATGATACTATGTACCTATTTTCTTTTACATCAAACTATGCTTGTGAATATTTTGCATTTATGTATTCACAGCCATATCTTGAATTGCAGACCTAGAGCAATTCTTGACATAATCAAATCAGGGGAGAATTTCAGGATTTCCACTACTACGAAAATGCCAGAGCAGGGGACTTGCGAACGGTGTGGTTATATATCTAGTCAGGTACATTTTTTTTTTAATACACCCATTGAATGAATGTGAGCCTTGGGTTCATTTGCTTTTATATGTGGAATGGTGAATCTTTACCTAAGTTTTGGTTTGTGATAGATCCCCCATAATTAAAAAGGGGGGAAGCATGAAGTGGCTGATAAGGGCTGGGAGAAGAATTGGTACGGGGCGGGCAAGACAGAATCTGTTAAGAGGGATTGTGTAGAATAAGTTCGTCAGGAAATGGGAATAAAAAGGGCAAGGAGAGATTTTGGAGTTGGGATATAATTTGGTAAACTTGTGGGAGGTTCTAGCACTTAAAAGCATAAAGATCTTGGAATATATCATTTTCTTCTATTATACCATTTTCATCTTCAATTACAGAGGGAAGTTCTTCAAGCTCTATCATTTCCCCCCGCCAGTTGTCTAGAAGTTCTATTAGTCAAATGGACAAAGGGGGTATTAATTAAAATTTATACAAATGTAATTTTTGGCATTCAACTTTTCCTTTTAGTTGAGTTCATATTTTACTTTCACACAGGTCTTATATGCTAAGGCTTCTAAACTCTGAGATTTCATCATTTGTTACACGTGCAGAAATGGTGTAAAGCTTGTGTCCTTCTTGAGGGACTAAATCGCGGTTTGCCTAAGCTTGGAATTGGAAAGGGTCGGGTCAGTGTTAATGGTTCCGAGGATAGTAATGAAAGTGATAGAGAAAAGAGTATTGCCAGCAAACAATGTGGAACTTTAGACTTCTAACATGCCCTTTGAGCTTCATGTCAACTTCAACAGAATGCTAAGAATCTGTGCCTTTCATTACTCGGGCATTTACTATCAATCAGTAGATTCAATAGCAGTTATTGCAAGTGGAGCGAGAATCTTCAGTCTTGAAGGACCTGAACCTTGACCTTTGTCTGAGATTTGACAAGAGTAGCTTGAAAGCTAAAAGGAGTGATGTGGGGTCCTTGTTCATGAAATTGTCGTCATCACCTGATAGTGAATGAAGTAGCTAGTTACAGCACGCAGATGTTGCAACTTTTCATTTTTATTTATACTTCTCATAACGAGGGCAATATTTTAAGCCATTGTAACTGGTATTTATTGATGCAACCCCATTGGAGAACGTTAATGGTTCACTTATATGGTTGAATCATTCCATTGGGATTTTGGACAGCAATTCAACTAAGTGCCTAGTAGCTCAAATTTGATGCTATTAGACCCAAAAGATTGTCAAAAATAACTGGATTACATGCTTCCTATTTCTACCCTATTTAGTATGTATTTATAAGATGCTATGACTTAGAATCATTATGAAATGGTATGACTTTTATGATTATATTTGATGGAGCATTGAACGACTTTTTGTCATCTTTATGTGGTTATAAATTGTCGTTAGAATTTTGAATTGTTGGTTAATTGTGTGATCATAAACAATAATCAAAACCAAATTTCCATTTTTTTTATTTTTAGCAAGGAATTTATTAAATTTAATTGGAAATTTAGCCAAGGAATCAATTTCCTCACTAAATGGGAAATTTTTTGGATAATTTAGCAAGGACAATGTGAGGGATTGATTATTTGCTAAATTTAGTAAAGGATAGCTTCCTCACTAATGAGACAGATATAAACAAGGGATTGTATTCCTAGAAAGGGATTATGTATCTTGCTAATTTAGTTAGAAAACATCGTTCTTTAGTGGGATGTTATATAGTTATGAATTTTAATGTTTTCTTTTATAAAGAGAAATATGTTAAATTGAAGTTAGGCATGAATAGGCAAAAAATAGTGAAATTAAGTCCCTGGCTAAAATGTAGTTTTCTAGTGTCAATGTTCAAATCCAAATTAGTTAGTAATTTCAATGAAAAATCTGTTAAATCAAAATTAGTTATGGATAAGAAAAAAATTAGGAAGAAATTAGTTCATGTTTGGTTTTCAATTTACATATCCAAATGTTTATTTGGGAGAAGCAACCATTTGTTGGATTTGGATTCCTTGCTAAGTTGTAGGTTTTCAGTAGCAATGTTCAAATCTAAATTAGTCGGTAATTTTAATGAAAAATCCATTAAATCAAAGTTAATCATGCATAGGAAAAAATTAGTGAGAAACTAATTCCTAGCTAATATATAGTTCTCTAATTATAATATTAAAATCTAAATTAGTTATACTGAATATCAAATAATCGTATTAAAAAACAGGATGTTATAAATTTATATGGTTAAAGGACCTCAATGTATTTGGAATATACTTTCTCTATTTTTATTCACTCTAATTTTTCTTCTCTATCTCTTATTTTGAAAACAATTTACAAGATTTGAACTGGATTCAAATCCACTTCAGAGTTGTAACATGCAGAAGAGAGAGAGACATTCAAAGGATATTATACAAAAGAAGGAAGAGAAGAAAGAAGAGCAAAGAACCGAAGCCAAATCCATAGCCTCCTCCTTCATGATCATGGCTAGAGACACTGCAACGTGCATAATGATTCCTGAAACAAGAAGGAGAAGAAAAAGAAGACTTGCCAATGGAGAAATATACAGAGAGAGAGTGAATAAGCAGAAACAGAAGAATCACCAGAAGCACAATAATGAAATATGAAAAGAGAGTCGAAATGGAATCAAGCAAGTCCATTAGAGTTGACCAGTAGATTATCAACACTAATCCCACCACCATTAGAGAAGGTACTAGTGGTGATGGCCCTCTCTCCATCTCTTCTCTGTAACTTTCGTGACTGTTCACATTGTTGGGTATTAATATAGGAATGAGATAGTTTAGCTTGAGTTAGTTGATTGGAGAAGAATATGGTTTGTCAGAGTTTGAAGATACTGAAATTTTTAGTTCCTACTTCTTAAGTCCTTTAAAATAATTTAAAAAATCTATGGTTTTTCAATATAAAAAAATATTTAATTGAGAGGCACTGGTTGAAGGAGTCAAATAAGTTTATCATGGAATTTTGAATTCAAGTTCTGAAATATAAAGTTGCATTAAATAAAAAGGGTTAATGGGCAAATAAAATTTTAAACTCTTGCTCAAAAATCACCCTGAACCCTGAACCATTAAAATATGTAAAATAAACCTTTACTCTTAACTTTTGTAACACCGTTGTTGTCCACACAGGTATTGTGTAACATTCATGATTAAATTTTAGGAAAATAAATTCTAAATAGTATTTGCATGGACAATAACGGTGTTAAAAAATTAGCGGTCAAGATTTATTGTGTTATGAATTTAAAAGTTTAGAGTTTATTTTATAAATTTTAAAAGTTCAGGGTTCAGGGTGATTTTCAAGCAATAGTTTAGGGTCCTACTTGCTTATTAACCCAAATAAAAATGTTGAAATCTTGGGTACATGTAACTTTAAAACTGACATTGATAAAAACAGTTTCACATAACTAATGTTTAGATTAGTCTGTGCATAGTGGTAATACTCTCAAGTTTCACAAGATACCAAATGGTGGAATAAAAAAGTATTTTTTTCTAAAAAAAGCTACTTAAACTTATATTTAATGTTTTTTTAATCAAATAAAAAAAGTGAATTGTTTATGAAAAAATTTACTCTCATGTTCCAAACAAGCAATATAAATGAAGAAAAGTCTCAAAAAATCACAAAATTACTTTGAAGTCACATGTCCTTTACTGGGGTTGTTAATTTATTCTATTGAAGTTGTTAATTGCTGTTAGATAGTTGTTAGTGAAGTTATTTAGTTGACAACTTAGCAGTAATAATTAATAACTATCCCATGTTAATTAACAACTTGAGTTAAGAATAAAACTACAGAATAATTTTGCAATTTCATGGAATTTTTTGTTTTTATATTTTGATTGTTTGTATGGAACTTGAGAGTAATTTTTTTTAATTATACCCATCACTTGCTATGCAACTTACTCTTATTAATTAAAAATCTTAACTTATTTTTATTAAGAAAAAAACATATTAAATGCTTTTTTTTAGAAGAAAATATATGCATGCATGTTATTTGTCAGCGATTGAAACTAAATTTATGGGAAGAAAGTAAAAGCTACTTGGTGAATATTCTGGTCCAACCACTTTACTTTCCACTAGAATAAGGGAAAGAGACAATTAAAGAAGACGACCAATACTTGAACTCTTTTGTTTGGTGATGCATGTGAGATAGGAGATGACCAACCTCTCCTCTACTCTCTTCTTCATATCATTCTTCCATTTCTATAAACCTTAAGACACACTAAGCCCACCAAAAAGTTTGATCAAGTCAGACTTTGAATGCCAACCATTAAAAGCTTTGATTTTGTAGATAGACATGCATTCTCTTATTCATTTATTGTAAGAGATTTTGTTCGACATATAGTCGAGTATTAAAAATAAACATTTTTTTTAGTAGTAATGGAGATTCAAAATTTAATTTGTTACATTGCAAAGAAATTGTCATTTTCACAAGACCAAAGTCCTGTGAGTAATATCAATATACTAATATATGTAATAAAATTTCAAAGGAAGCATAATTAAAAAAGTCATGTACACTATTAAAAAACAAAGTCATGTACAATTAATTTATTTCTTCTATATACTTTAGGCCAAATTGACTGGAATATTAATTTAGCTAATATTTAGCTTTTTTTTAAATTATTATTGAACTTCAGTTTCAGGGATTGGGCCTAATCCAATTGGAAACTTTATAAAATTCAAATTACAAGATTCTGCTTGATTTGGGCTTACCTCACAAAAGATTCCCAAACCCAAAAAGAGCCGAAAGAAAAGAAAGTACCAGAAATGAACAACTTTCCAATAATAGCTGCACAGTAATGATGTTAGATTCGCAAATGCAAACACTATTAGTAACAATATTCACTTGAAGATCTAACTATAAAGGTAGTATTTCACATCACTATCTGCTAGATATCTGAAAAGAGAACATTGAAAGATTAAATTACATATGAAGCTAAATAGATTTATCTGCAGAATAATGCATGTCTTCTTAGTTTTTTCTCCACGCAGAGAAATGAAAACAATGTTTTAATTTTAAATATGGAAACATTTTTTAGTTTTTCTTCTGATTATTAGATGGTCTATAGAGAGTTTATATATTTGCATACTAGCTTTTGGTTATTCGTTCTCTTTCAAGAGCATGCTTATCATTCATAACGATCATATATACTAGAAAGAATGGGTCTGACGTATACTGAAAAGAAAATAATAAACAATTGTTTAAATGGTTTGAACGTATATGGGAGAATTGCAGTTAAAGACCCCAAGACTTAATTTTATGTGGGCCCAAATTGTTTTAAAAAAATTTTAGTTCAGTTAAAAGGAGAAAAGTCAAAAGAATTTTGACTGTAAAAAAATTAAAATATCTTTCACTTATTATACAAAATTACTAGTTATTAATTTTTTGACTCCATTTGTTACTTTATGAATATAAATTGTAAATTATATAAGTTAACATATTAACAATTATATAAGACTTAACATCATTTTTTTAATTATATATAATAACTTCAATTGTTATATTGCTAACTTTACACGTTAATTTACTAATATTAGTTGTAAATTACTAACAAGTTTTGTAATTTACTAACATCAATTATAAATTACTGACACGTATTGTAATTTACAATTAATGTTATAAATTAATAAGTAAATTTAGCAAATTAACAACTAATGTTACTGATTATCTAACAAATAGATATAATTTATAAGTGATATTGGTAACTTAACAAGTGTAGTAAAAAAAATTAGCAACTAGTGATTTTATATAACAAGTGAAGGGTATTTTGGTCTTTTCATCATTGAAATTCTTTCAACTTTTCTCCCCTAAACTGAATTAAAATTTCAGAATTTTTTTTTAGACTCACATAAAATTAAGTTTCTACTTTAGTTTTAAAGTCAAAAAAAAAATTGGCCAAAAAAACATGTATAAAAAAGATTATAGGAGGCATAAAGAGAACAGTCTAAAAATATTGAATAAAGCCTTTTAATTAATAATATATTTAAAAATTTGATTGTTAATGAAACGCAATAACATCGTGTAACATATAGCCAAACTGCCCCACATCCTTAGCAGACTTTGTTTCAAAACAAATGTCACTAAGTTTTCAAGAAAACAATAACTATTCTTTTTGACAATTTTACCCATCAGCAGTCCAAAATCTATATATATATATATATATAAATAAGTAGAACCACAAGCTTGTGTTTGAAGATGCCATGTGTCCTTTAAATTTTTTTGTTTTTTTCTTTTTGTTTTATTAAAAATAACTACACTACTTCTCTTCCATATATCTATCCAAATGATATCAGGTACATGTCACTTATGATTTCATGATTTATTGTTTATTTTAAAAAAAATAAAATTACCCCTCTCTCACATAACTATCCCAACTTAATTTCAAGATTATAATAATTAAAACAATAATAATCTAACCAAAAATCAATTTTCGAATCCAATTTTATAATTAAAAAAACCACCCTCTCACATATCTCTCCACTATCCCAACTTAATTTAAAATTATGATAATTAAAACAATAACAGTCTAATCAAAGATTATTAACCAAATTCAATTTTATAATTAAAAATTAAAAAATTTTGATTTAAAAAATAAAAGTAGAACGACAAGCAGCCTTATAAGCTTGACATGTGTCTATTTTACAAAATGCTGTGATTTTGGAGAGCCACATGAGATTTTAGTTGTTATATAAATATTGTAATTTATATATATTAATTTTAAATTTCCTTATATTTCTCCTCATTTTTAGATTCCACAATCTATCCACCATCATAACTTTCCAAGTGCTATTTAAATTTAATATTAATATTTTTAAATATAAAAAAGTCTCCACCATGAAAAATCATTAAAAGAATAAAAAAATTCAAACATTATATATTCCCACACTTAAAATTTCTCCTGATTCTTAGATTCCACAATCCATTCACTTTAATCATAACTTCCCAAATATTATTTAAATTTAATATTTTTAAATATAAAAAAGTCTTCACCATGAAAATTATTTAAAAATAATAATAATTCAAACATTATAACTCCTCGTACTCGAAAATTTCTCCATACTATCGTATTTTGCCAATTTCTCTTTCCCAATTTTAAAATTTAATTTAAATAATTAGAAGAAATTTCAATTTTCATAACTTTCACACCTAATGATCAAATACCGATTTCAAGCTATCCTTACTTTTAATTCTACTATAACTATCATTACACCACTCATGCCTTCATTTTTTTTTTTTGAAAGCTAACTCACTTTTTAATAGAAGACACAAAAGTTAAAGGCTAATTACTTTGTATCATCATTCTCATGCTTGCTCTCCCTACTTAGCGTAATTGCAAGCTCTAAAGGAATATGATTGACAAGATGAAAGCTACGAAGCACAAACAGCTCCTCTTTGGTCATATGGTCAGTAACTTGATTTTCATCCTCTGCTCTTTATGATTGAACAAGTCAAATATTGCTTAGTAAGTTTTTTTTACACCCATATTAGCAACTTGATTTAGTGGTGAAGAGGTTGAGAGAATAATGGACAAGAAAAATATTTCAATATGCAGATAAGGTGGACAAGTTGTTGATCTTGTTTGGGATGTTGGGAAGTTTTGGAGATGGCATTTACGTTCTTCTTATGATGTCCATTCTTAGTGACATGACTTATGCATATAAAGACCCAAATACCATTTTGATAGATCATGATGTAAATAAGGTTCGCTTCCTCAATGAAATATTCATTCTGTGCCATATACATTACATTTCTTATTTCTTAAGTATCCCCCCAATATATACTCATTGTAAGAGTAGTTTTGATATTGCTGTTCAATTTGTTTCTACAGTATGCTTTAAGGCTTTTATATGCTACAATAAGGCTATTGCAGAAGGAATTGTTGGGCAAGAATTGTAGAAAGACAAACTCTGTAAAAAAAATTGGAATACCCGACTGACAGGCGAATTCCTTGATACTCAAGCAGCATGTTCTTCAACAACTTACCAAGTTTGTTGCTCTCATTACGGCTGATGCCAACTGATCAATTCAAGATGCTTTGAGAGAAAATGTTTCATCTCATGAAATTTTTTCTATCAAAAGCGAAGCCAATTTATTTGATAAAAGTCATTTTTGCCTTGATATTGATTTTAACTCTTCTTAGATAGTGGCTCAAATAAAAAGTTCATAATGTTGAAAAGAAGATAAAGCATGAGAGGACGGATAGAATGAGAAGTAAATTCTTAACATGTTAAAAAACAAAATCCTTATAAATTTTATAATTTCATTATATATTTTGAATATATGAATTTGTCAATTGGGGAAGTATTGCTTTTAGATCACATAGATTTTTATTTTTGTTGCTGATAACAACACTAGAAATTGAGTTAGTTGAGATAAGAGATTAGTCACACTAATTATTGAATGATACATTAAACTTTTCTTTGTGACTTTTATTATGATGTATTGTGAATTTTTAAATTTCATGTTTTGTGGTATCTTTACATTTAATTTATGGGTTAATTATTTTTTTATGAATAATCATTTTAATTTAATAACAATTGATTTTAAAATTTAAGTAAATATCATTATTTATTTAAATTATTATTAAAATTTTCATATCCTGTGCATCCCATGGGCTACATATTAATTTATTTTAAAGCTTTATAATAAACAATGATACTTTAGAAAAAGAAAAATTATATATAGGTTCCATAAAATAAACTTATTAACAAATAAGTCTTGTGAAATTTAGAAATTATAATCAGGTCCCTTAAGACCTGAGTGTAATTTAAAATTAAGGTCAAAAGACAATAATGCCCTTATTCAAAATATATTATATCAATTAAATAATATATAACTACTTAATCAGTAATTTATAACTATCACTTTAATTTTTTACAACAATAATTTCACATATTTTAATAATTAAATCGATTATGCATTACTAACAAAGTTAATACTAATTGTTTAAAAATACTTCATTATTAATTTACAATTATAATTTTAACTTTTTACAACTATAACTTCTTATATTCAATAATTAAAATGTTTGAACATTTGATATAAAAAGTTAAAATTACAGCTGTAAAAAATTAAAATACTAATTATAAATTATTAATAAAGTAATTGTAAATTACTTAATTGATGTAATATATTTTTTATAAAGGCATTATTGTCCCTATACCCTAATTTCAAATCACATTCAAGTCCCAAAAGACCTAATTGTAATTTTTAAATTTCACAAAACTTATTTATAAATAAGTTTGTCTCTCAAGATCTATACATAATTTTACCTTTAAAAAAAAAAACCATTGAATTTTTTTTAATTTAGATAATGTATTAACTTTCTTAACCTTTGTGCATGACTTCAAAATAGCAATTGTTGCTAACTCTACTGAAGCTCTATCGCTAATCTACAATAAATTCTTTACTAATCACCCTCTCTCTACCACTATCAACGATATCAAAGATCTCATTATGTGAGATTGAACTGTCACTTTTGACCACCTGTTTAAAAAAGCAAATACTTGCACTGATTGGTTGTCACATTAAGCCTCTATTGATAATTTCAATGTACTTATTTTTAACACTGTGCCCCTAAGTTGTAGGGACCAATTATAAGGACCTTTTGTACACTGACATGACTCAATAAGTCCGTTAGCACGGTCGACCATTCAAAAAAATATATATATATAGCAATTGTTGTGAAACGGGTGGAGTACTTACTACTCAGACACACATCAAATTCCAAATGTCAAAGTTGGAATCTTCCTACAAAATTCAAGATTATAATTAGAAATTAACGTGAATAAAATCATCTTGCTCATAAGCATGCCCATTCATTGAGACAAATTCCAGAAGAATCAAAAGAGAACAAAACAGCAGCGAACCGAACTCCAGAAAATGCCAATCACATAGAACACAAGTTTTGGTCACTTGTACAGCACTATCATGTTAGATCTACAAATGTTATACATTACCACTAACAATGAACACACTATGATCTAACTACAAAAGTCAACATTCTAGACTACTAACTTAACACACACGAAGATTTGACTTCAAAAGACAAATCCTTCATTAAACCTGTCTGATCAAAAGGCCGGATTGAACCGGAGACGTTGTTCATAGAAGTTGATCAGCTGAGGGGAAAAAAAAACACCCGTTAGATCACAAGAAGAAGGCATATTTCGAAGTAAAGTGCTAATCCACCAACACGCACCAGAAGTGGATTGTCTGCCTTGAGATATTTGTTATCCACCTCAACTTCTGTTCCATCAGACCTGTAAAGCTAAACCATATTAGCTTTCATTATGTGAAGAACCATGCTATGTCCTTATTGGAAAATCTCTTTCACTTTATCGCCCCTAATTATCTATGAGCAAGAAAAAGTCACTACAACTGTAGCATTACAATTTTGAAATCTCATCTCATCGTGAAAGATAGCAAATATAAATAATTGCACTAGTAAGCAAAAAAAAAAAAAATTATATGCATCAACAAGAAACATACATGATTGACAAGTTCTGTAAATTAAATGAGTAAACCAACATGCATTCGTTAAGACACGTAATTAAACAATGCCAATCATAAGTCATCTCTCACAAGGTTAGTCAGCAAAATGATCTAATGGGGTTAAATCATGTCAGCTTCCAGAAGAAGCAAGCTTACGCTCTTAGCTCAAATAGGTTATTAAATTAAGGATACCAAGCAATAAACCAATAAACCAATAAACTGTCACATAAACACTAGCCAATCATAAAAGCACAAAACCTATAACCAAAAAACAACCAAGCCTTACATGATTTTGATTGCTATGGTTATATCTTTCGAGTAATAAATTCCTTCCTTCCTTCCTTCCTTCAATAATATGAAACAAAATGCTTATTGGAAGTGACCGAGGTTTGGCAAACTAATAACACCATTTGTTTAGTGTCCTGAAAATCAGTCTTAATTTTGCATCATGAATTAATGCTTGCTATTCAAGAGCTAAACATGCATCATTTGGAAATTAATATACTTCCTTTCCTTAAATAGACACACAAAAACTGAAGAAAGCTTAAATTCAGAAAATACACTGAGTAATGTAAGATGTTTCATCAAGTCAAAGGTATAGAATATGAAAGCAGGATTATAAAGTTGGATGCCTAACCTCATGGCCAAAAAGTTCACTATAATATCTGGTATTTCGCTGGATACAGAAGCTGAATAGCTTAGCGGCTTTATAATCTTGACAATATTACAGGATGTTTTAGCATCACCCATCTTGTGACTATTATTTCCCCCAAAACCAGTAATTTCTGACCATGCTTGTTCAACTATGATTGCTTGATTTTGAGTATCATCTGAGTCTTTCTTGAACCTCTTCACAGAACCAGATTTTCTCCTCTTGGCTCCTCTGCAACGGCCACCTTGATTCAATCCCATGCAATCCACCTTAGATTGACCATTCATTTGAGCATTGCCTATTGAAGCATTGGCTTCCTGGATATGTATTGCAAGCTTATTTGAATTGATCCCATTGGCTGTCATGAATGATGATGTAGCTTTAAGCTCGGTAAGCTTAGGATCATAATCACTTTCCCTTTCAACCCTAAGTTTTGAAACATTTAGGCCCCAATTTTCATCAGCTGGTCCAGCGTTTCCAAAACTGCCACCATTGCCATTTTCTTCAACTTCATCAGCAAAAATCACAGGTTGAGGATGAGCAGGAAGATCAGTTAGACTAGGATCATTGGTGGGAGCAGATTGACAATGGTTGTCAGCTACACTCTTTGCTGAAAACTGTCTAAGGCTATAAGAAGTGGTTGAACGATGCTGCCTTTTCTTGGGTAGAGTGTGATGAACTGCATGCTTGCGCTTCCTCTTTCGATGCTTTCCTGATCTCAAACTGCAAAGTACAAAGAAGAAACATACATTCACAAATAGAGGAACCAACAAGAGTCATCAATGTCTCTAAGTGAAATCAGACATATCTTTCCCCTTAAACTCTTGCTAATCCACACAAGCACCTTGCTACCTTTGTAAGTAAAAATTTGAAAATTGAGAGAGTATGCTTTTCATATTGTTCATATGTTAACATACGATCTCTTTATCTCTAGCTAAGAGAATACAACATAAATGTGTCTACACACACACACACACACACAAAAGACGAGCTGGTAGAGAGAGAAAGGGCATACCTCACTTCAAAAGCTTCAACAACATCGGGAACTGACTGTAAATTTTCTGGGGGCTCCCAAGTGTTCGCTGTCTCGGGCCAATCGCGCCTTTAGAGTTAAAAGAAATATCAAACACATTAACCAAGTTTCACTTCCTCCCTCCATTTTTTATAATGTAATAAGAACAAAAAGACAAAGGAGTAAGAGAAACACCCACCATTTTATAAGGTACTCAAGCTGACCCTAAAATAAAAGAAAAAGGAACCGAATAAAATCAGGAGGGAAATTTTCAATAGGCTCTGAAAAAAAAAAGGAAAAACTAGAATTGGCTTCAAATATGTACCTTACGAACCCTCCTACGACGTATTGCTTCGATTTCAAAGTATCCCTCATCAAGCTTAGGACGAACAACCTCTTGGGACACTTGATCCCCAACTTCTTCGTCTTCCTCATCAGCCTCAGCTTCTTCTGAAACTTGCCCTTGAGCTTCGTCTCCTTCCAAAATGTGAAACTGAGTCTGATCGTTTACAACAGAAGGAGTTAACGGGTCATCACCTCCATTGTTAGGAGCAACAGCAAGAACATCAGCAGCAGCAGAAAAAGTTGCAGAATCGTTCGGTGCCTCCAAATTGATTCTTCCTCCCTTCATTGTGGAGCATGAAAAAGCGAAACTCGAAGGAGAATTAGCCTAAGGAAAAAGAAAAAAGCACAGTAATTTGCGAGTGGGGTTCATTGAAACTGAACTATCTTGACTATTACTAGTGGTTTAATAATGAATGAATGGTTTCCTTTGGTTTCAACGGCGTTACTTTAGGGATGAGTGGAAAGTGAAAACACAGCACAGGTCATAAAACGCAAGCCAAACAAGGAAACGACAGTGTTTCATTCATTCCAAAACATGCCTTTCGCGTGTACGGTTCGCTAATCTCTGACTCTCCTTTAATGGGGGAAACAATTCATTTATAAATAGTTAAAAATTTACTAGGATATCTTTATTCCAGATACCTTCTTATGCTTGAGTATCATCTGATTAAGTTATAAGTATCTAGCAGCAAGATTATACTAAGATGTTCATATTCTTTTCAATTTTTTTAAATGAAAATATGTTAATATACGATTCCGTAAAAATAACAGGATAAATTCATTTTCTTTAAAGATAATGCATTTGTTATATTTTCATATGTTTTAATTTAATAGAAGTATAATATAGTATATAAAAGATATATAGAAATATAATATTTTTATTTACACGATTAAAAATTAGAATTTATATAAATAAATGTATATTAACTAATAGAAGTATGCATTAATGAAATTATTATTAAAAAATTAGACTGACATTAATAATAAAGTTTACAAATTTCGATAGATAATTAATTAGTAATCATTGCATAAAATTTTATACTTTATGCTTTTTTTTAATAATTTGTACGTCTATTTTGTCTCATAGTGATTTTTTTTTGGAGCCAAAATCATATTCAGAAACATGTGGCATGCCTAGGGCTATATAAAACTCCTCTAATCCGGGTCAATCTAATTTAATTTGAGATGATGCTGTCATGTTTGATATGTATAAATATTGGTCCTTTAAGACCAAAAAAGCTTAAAAGGTCAAACTATTTTTTTGAATTAAATTGAATAAGAGATTGAACATTTAGATTAGGGCTGTGCAAAAGTCTTCCAGTTCTGTCTGGTCCAGTTCAACCCGAGATGGTCTCAGTCTTGTTCGGTCTGTATAGTCACTGGTCCTTCAGGATCAAAAGGACTAAAAAGACCAGACTATTTTTTCGGGTTGGACTGGACAAGAGACCAGGCATCCGGACCACTTGGTCCAGTCCAGTCCTATTAATTTTTTTATTATAATTATAATTAATTTATTTTTGACAAATGTTTAAAGTGTAATTGATGCTAAGGAGATGATTGCATAAAGATTTATTAAGTTTGTTTCTAAATTGTTATTGTAATATAGTGTTGTTGAATTTTGTTGAGTACTGTTTTTGTTAAAGTTTATAAATTTAAATAATTTAGACTATAACAAAAATATTTTTTTTCTTATTGTTAAAAATTATTATGGATTTATTATTATTATAAGTGTTTTTACTATCTTAATTGAGTTTATTATGTTAGAATGGATTATTGCTTCTCATAGAATAAAAAGAGGGAAAAAAAGCTAAGTGAGTACTGGACTGACATGACCAGTCTCCCAGTCCTATGGACCAAGTCCGGTCCTGTTAATTTTCGGGTTATCACTGGACAAGACTGGACTACGGGTTGCCTAACTCAGTCTTTTTCATAACAGAGACCGGACTTCGGGTTAGGGTGAAGTCCAGTGCCGTCCTGTCTTTTGTACAGCCCTAATTTAGATCATTTGATCCAATCAAGCTCTATTAATTTATTTAATATAATTATAATTAATTTATTTTTGGTAAATACTTCAAGTATAATTAATGCTTAGGAGATGATTGCATAAAAATTTATTAAGTTTGTTTCTAAATTGTTATTGTAACGTAATGTTATTGAAATTTGTTGAGTGTTATTTTTGTTAAAGTTATAAATTTAAATTATTTAGACTGTAAATGAAATATTTTTTTTTTTGTTGTTAGAGATTATTATGGATTTATTATGATTATAAATGTTTTTACTTTTGAGTTTATTAGGTTGAAATCAATTATTGCTTTTCATAGAGAAAAAAGAAAAAACAAAATAACTAAGTAAGCACTGGACTAACAGGACCAGTTTTCTAATCCTATAAACTAAGTCTGATCTTGTTAATTGTTGGGTTATCACTGAACAAAACCGGATTAGAGTTTTCTAACTCAATCCTTTTCATGAAAGATATCAAACTTCGGGTTAGATCGAAATTTAATACTGTTCACTACTTTGTGTGGCCCACGTGCCCATATTTCACTATTTGACCTGGTGAAACAATATCATATTAAAGGAGAAAACGAATCAATCAATGGAAAACAAGGTCAAAGATCCTATGGAACGAGTGCCAGTTTATGGTCAAGTTTGTGTCAAATTAAGGAGACATTCACAAAACCAATGGTTGGTGGAATGGGCCATGGATTCATGTGATCGCCCATCTAAAAATGACTATTTCAATTAAGCCATTAACTAAAATTGTCAATTGTGTAGGAAATGACAATTACATGCAATTTTTTTTTATATTGGTCAAGGGCAAATGTTTATAGGTTATTGACTATTTCAAAGGTGAAAAATATTACTTTAAATGAGAAAATATTTAAAATTAAATAACAAATGACAACTAACTTTCTTTCTATTATTTTATAAAGTCTCACAAGAAAAAAAAATGCATCAAAGTAATTTCTTCATTTTGTAGGTTTTTTTGTTTTGGTCATATGTCTATTTGGAGAAGATTTATTCTTCCTAGAAAAATATGATAGATTAAATAAGGACTGAATGAAATATTGAATTAATTTTTTAAAGAATAAATTAAAATCACATGCATCCTATCAATAGTATCCTTTTGGTCTTGTCCTTCAAAGTGCATACAAAAGAAGGCCCACAATTTATACATTTGGATGTTTCAAGACCCTTTGATCAATAGACAACCTCAACCTAACCTTCAACAAAAGTTGAAAATTCTACTATAAAATTTGACATGAATGACTAAATTCATATTCACAAGAAAAGAACGGATTATATGGAGAGGGAATTGATTAAAAACGTTGTCAACTTACAACGTTAAACGCATTATTTAATTTGTTTAGAATTTCTTTTGTCTTATATCAACAATAATTGGGATGAATGGTAAGATTGTTAATAACCCTAAAATGCTGTCACGCAAACGCTAGCCAATCATTAAAGCACAAAACCTTTGAGTCTTTGTCCCAAACATGACCAAGCTTTGCATGATTTTGATTACTATGGTTACAACGTATGAGTGATCAATTACTTCTTTCAACAACGTGCAATAAAATGCTTATTGAAAGTGACTGAAGTTTGGGAGACTAAGGGTCTAATTGATTTCTGTTCTCATTTTTTTAAAAAAGAAAATTATTTCGTAATACAGTTTTTAGAATTATTTTAAAAATAAAATGAAAATCCATTTAGTTTTGTTAATTTAAAAATAATTTTAGAATTTAAAAATAAGATAATAGTAATGATTATTGGTGGCTAATGGTGATGATTTATGAAAGAAATAGGTCAAGTTAATTATATTTTCTAACAATCAAATTTTGTGTGTTTTAAAAATAAGAAAAATAAAATGAAAACAAATTTAAAATGTTTCCATTTTTATTTTTGAAAAAAATTAAATCCAAAACACTTATTCAAATGGGTTTTTTAATTTTTTTTAAACATAAAACGAAATTTGAAAACAGAAACTAAACAGGCTCTAATAACCTTATTTCTTTAATTTCCTGAAAATCAGTCTTTACTTTGCTTCATGAATTAATGCTTCCTATTCACAAGTGAAACAATTGGAAATATAATACTTCATTTTCTTAAATTGACACAAAATCTAAAGAAAGCTTAAACTTTGAGAAAATATACTGAACCATGCAATTACGGATGTTTCATCAAATCAAAGGTATAGAATATGAAAGCAGCATTAGTCAATTAAAAGCCTAACCTCATGACCAAAAAGTTCGATATAATATCTTGTATGCCACTTTATTTTGAGTGTCATCTAAGTCTTTCTTGAACCTCTTCACAGAACTAGATTTTCTCCTCATGGCTCCTCTGCAGGGACCACTTTGATTTAGTCACATGCAATCCACCTGAGATTGACACTTCTTTTGAGCATTGCATGTTGAAGCATTGGCTTTTTGGATATGTATTGCAAACTTATTTGAATTGGCTTCATTGGCTTCTTGGTTGTGAATTGCAAGCAAGACTAAGATCATTGGTTGGACCAGATTGACAACTGTTATCAACTACGTTCTTTTGCTGAAAATTGTCTAAGGATATAAGAAGTGGTTCTTGGGTAGGGTTTGATGAACTGCATGCTTGAGCTTTATCTTTCAATGCTTTACTGGTCTAAAGCTACAAAGTAGAAAGAAGAAACATAAATTTAAAAATAGAGTAACTAACATATTCATGTCCCTCAAATTTCTAAGTAAAATCAAGCACAAAATAACAATGTGCAATAAAATGTTTATTGGAACTGACCAAAGTTTGGAAGCCAAATAACCCTTATTTGTTTAATTCCTTGAAAATCAGTCGTTACATCCCATCATGAATTAATGCTTGTTATTCATAAGTCAATACTACAATAATAAAGCTTCCACCGTTGAGAACTTGATTTAGGTAGTGTTTGAATCAGTCAATAATACTAGATATCAGACAATTTGTTTTTTTTTTTTAAAAAAACTTGGCTTGTCAATCACTTTATCCAAAAACTCACAACCTGTATGTAGGGGATAAAGGGGGAAGCTTTTAGAAGTAGTAAACATAAAGTTCTTTGGTTCCTATTGTAACATCCTAAATTTTTAACTTGGAACTTTGAGTGTTTAAGAAGGGTAAATTGGTTAAAATATGTGATTGTTAAACTAATGGTGCTTTTGGGAACTAATAAAGTTATTTAGCCTTTGAGCAGCTTTGGAAATGAGCTAAGATGTTGTACAGGTCAATTGGACTCGAGAGGGTGGCCAAAATGGTATGTAGCACTTGCTGTGCTATGTGTTGTGGTGCACGCATAACATGTCGCAGTGCACTGCTAAATTCTAGCATAAACCAAACGCGAAATGCATCTAATTTCAGAAAGGAAAAAGAAAGAAAGCGAGAGAAGCAATGGAGGAAAAGTTTGTGGCTGCTAGGGCTTGACATTGTGAGTGATTTGGAAGGATTTGAAGTTTAAATCATCATTGGGTAAGTTTCATTTCCCCTCTCCTTCCATATTATGTGAATTTCTATGAATATAGGGCAATGTAGGGCTTTGATTCCGGTTTTCTTGGATTTAGACCAAACCTACTACTTTAGTTAAGGCCTTGGGGTGTTAATCAAGCTTCTATATCTAAGTTTATGGGTTTCTTGGGGTGTTAATCAAGCTTCTATATCTAAGTTTATGGGTTTTGTATTGATTTAGAATTTTTGGTTAGGGTTTGTACAGACCTTATGTGAAAATTTGGAGTTTTAAGACAACGTGGGTAAATGGTTAGTGATATTAGTGTATTTGGATGCTAAATAAGATTATTGGAGTGTGTTGAAAATGTTGATATTGATAAAATGAGGCTTTGGATATAATGTGTACCTGAAATTTAGTAATTTTAGGATATAATTAAAGTAATAATTGACAATTATCACTTAATCGTGTAGATTAATCATTGCTCGAGTACTGTTGCACGTGTGTGACAAAAGGGTTGAGGTAATAGAATAATTTACTCTATTTGATTAAATGCTTAATTGTTTGTGAGTAGATATGTAATTTTGCCTACATATGTTTTGAAAGCATTGCATACTGTGAAAGAAGGTTTTTGTGCATTTGAAATTTTAAAACAATGCAAACTGTGAAGGTTTCTTATATGAGTTAATTGTGGCTTTGACACATGTGGTATGTACGAGAAGTGTGAGCATGATCATGATAGGGGGTGGAATTCACTCGTAGGAGGAGTAGTAAAAGTCTATATGGCATGTATCTCCTTAGTATCCAGTAAGGTACGGTGTTAGAGATTATTTCTTTAGTATCCATGCGGGATACGGTGTTGGAGATCGACACTTCATAGTATCAGTGATACAATATTGGAGTAATGAACACCTTGATTCGTCTGTGATAGGGGGAGACCATAGTCCAAAAGTGGGATATGACACCTTTGGTTAGGTGATCCTACCACTAAAGGTGAGCTCGAGCCATTGTGTATGAGCATTTCATCCAATAGAGCCTTTGATTTCAGTCGGAGTTTTATGGAGGTTCGGATTATAAAAAGATCATGCTAAAGTGGAAATGACTTGTGTTTGTAGAAATGATATGTTGAATATGTTAAATGAGTATTTTTTCTTACCTATATGAGCTTTACTTGCTTATAGTTGTGCATGTTAATTAATAATGGTGAATTATTCTGTTATTGAAATGTTTTATCTTACCTTGTAGTTATATTTTATAGATGAGGACTCCGATAAGGGTAAAGGGAAGGAAGAGACTAACGAAAAATAGAGAGCTACGTTTGTATAGCTCTTTCCTTTGACGTATTGGTTTTATAATGAATATGTTATGAATTTTATACCAATGCCAACTTAGGATTTCATGCATATTTTGAGTCACTTGTGTAAGTAATTGTGAAATGTGTGTATCTCGACCCACAATTGATATGAATGTGAATGACCAAAGTACTAATACAAGTGATGATGTTGTAATGTTTTGTGTGTGTGAATGGCCATAGTGTGCTATTTGGAATTAAATTATCCCTCTTTAAATTCACTGTGGAATGGAGGATTTGATGGTTAAATTGTGTATGAACTATTATTGTTGTGTTATAATTGGCCTATTAGGTTGTGTGTGGTCCATTTGAATTGATTCAAGTGATTCCAAAGCTATTGGCACAAGGTTGTGAGATTTAGACACCTTTGAGTGTGTTGTGGGTTGAAAATGGATCATTTTGGGTTCAGATGTCTAACTTTTTAATGGATGAGTTTTTGGGTATAAGACTAGTATCAATAGCTAGAAGGCTTGAAAAGCTACGTATGAACACTTGAATCGCTCAAATCGAATGTTGGATGGCGAAATGAAGTGCTCTAAAAATTGGTCCAAAGTGTTGTCATGACAACAAGCTCGCGCTATAGCGCATGACAGTCGTGCCGCAGTTCAACGCACAGGGAGTGACGTAGTCCTTTTGTGCTATCCATCATGGCAAGTAAGGCCTGCACTATGGCAAATGGTGCCAATTTTCTAGTATTTTTCATATTGCTCTATTATTACTTTTAAGAGCTATTTTATATTCCTATACTTCCATTATCTTATATAACTTAATTTAAACCATGATTTGAGTTCAAATGGCTTTTTAAAAAGAATTTTTTGAAGATCCCAATATTTTAAACTATTTACTTTTAAACCCTTGGATTGTGATGACGTGTCTTAGAGATTTTAATTAATTCTAATTATCATAACGGTGTGTTAAAGTGTTATCCTGATAATATTAAGATAGACATTACACCTAGTATGATTTTGATGCGCTTTGGTCTTGAAGCTTAATTGATTCAAAGCATTCACATACATAAACAAAATGAAAGAACCTCTAAATCAAGAATTAACCTTTCTGTGTACATCAATTCTCTAATATAATGCGAATACTTTTCCTTTTCCCTTTTAGACGGAAGAAAAAATGGAGGGAAAACATACATATGGGAAAGCTATCAAATAAAGTCTAAACATTCATATATCTGATAAGGTTATGAAACCAAATATTGCTGCAAATGCTTGGTTCTTCTCTTGTTCTTAAGTTTCCTAAATGCACATGCCTCAATTTGTCTAATTCTTTCTCTACTCACACCCATCATTTCTCCTATCTCTTGCAAGGTCTTCATTCTTCCATCATCCATGCCGAATCTCCATCTTATCACCTGCTTCTCTCTCGGATTCAAACTGTCCAGTACAAGTTCAAGATCCTTCTTCATAAATTCCTTTATGAGCAATTCCTCAGCTGTTTCTGCATCTGGATCCGCGATTACTTCCTGATAAGAGATATACTCATGTCAACAATATGACAATCATATGACAGAAATGTGTAACATCTGAACGGGAAAGTTTGCATGAGATTAGGACAGACCGAGGGTTTAAGATTCTGGTTGATCCCAATCTTTTGTTCCAGTGATCTAGGAGCTTTTGGGGTCATAAATACAGCATTTAGCCTCTTCATGGAGAGTCCAGCCGCCTCAGCGATTTCTTCATTATCAGGTTGTCTTCCATTTTCACTATACAATTGTTTTCTTGCCTCCTTCACTCTGTAAGAGGCCTCCACCATGTGGAACTGTTAAGCCAAAAACAACCAAAATCAATTCATTTGAACATTTGGGGCTTTCAGTTTTATATGTAGAATAGGAAATACTTTGATGCAAGGTTAAGAAGAAAGTAATTATGAATCACAGATTACACACCGGTAAGCGGATTGTCCTTGACTGATCAGAAAGTGATTTCCGAACAGCTTGTTTAATCCACCAGTGAGCATAGGTGGAGAACTTGAAACCCTTTGACGCATCAAACTTCTCAACACCTCTCACAAGGCCTCGACATCCTTCCTGTGAATCATTAAGTGGGAGCTTAATATACTTGTCACTAGAAGCATCAAGGTCACCATTAACATGATTCACAAAATATCTTACTACTATTTTATTCCACTTAAGATGACCCAACTATTCAATTCACTACCTCAAAGAATTTGTGCATTGCTATAGTGCTCGAAAGTATGGTTGTATAAAATGATACTATACGCTATTTCAAGAACCAGATATTCCATGGAATAGAAACAAAAACAATCTTTCAGACCAAAAGTGGTGCAAAAAGTTATAGGGAGCCAATTGATACTTGAGAAATTCTTGAAGGACCAAAATGGGATTTACATCTGGTAATAATTATTTGCATAAGAGTATACTGGGGAGAAAAAAACCTGTACAAGATCTTGGAGATTCATTCCAGCCCCCTGATAATTTTTAGCAATTGATATGACAAGCCGTATATTACTTTTAATCATTTTGTCCTTGCAAAAGGTGCCATAATTCAAGCGCTTTCTCAAGGTTTTCTGATCAACTCCTGCTGCTGCAGCCCATTGAGCGAATGTTGGTGGACTGCCACATCTTTCTGCAAGATCCTCCTGGAGTTTTTCTAGCTTCAGTAGGTCCTAAATAGAAAAGAAAAGTAAGTTAGGCTATATAACAAATAGAGAAATTTACTACACAATGAAAAAGATGCTTTTCGTTCTCTAGTGATTCTTTATGACTTCAAATCTTGAAACCTCCTCACGGTTACAAAATTTTATGATGGTGATATTATATGTTTATATGAGTAGCTCTACTATTAGTAAATTAATAATAATTTGCCAACTTTTTTTAATCCCTTTCTGCTCTCAAGTTACAGAACACATTGCCAAAGGAAGAGCTTCCCAGCATCCTCAATTCATAATACCACGGGAAGTGATATGTAACCTCCATCTATAACTACAATTAAACCCAAAAAAAAAAAAAAAGAAAATTGAGAGAGCATTACATAGCTATGAGAACTTTATTCTCTAAGGCAATTCTAATAGGGGGGAAAAAAATCTTCCTATGAAGTGAAAATTTTAAGGTAAAAGTTTTCAAATATGTTAAATATCAGCAAAAGAAAAGGTAAAAGAACCAGAAAGAAATCAAATCAGCCTTACAACATAGGTACTCCTCTAAACTAAATCATTTGAAGCAACTGACTGCAAAATCTAGTTATTGGAAAATTTTAGATTGACAATTGATAGAGATGCATAAGATTCATTAAAAAAAAAAAATAAAGAAAAAGAAATAGCTTCATTAAGATTGTCTAATAAATATTAAGAGATTAGGACATCTTAGACATGATCATCGTCATATGCAAATCCCACCTGTATTCCTTCCGATAGCTCAAGTTCTTCAGTTGGACTAAGAAGTTTAGTAGTGCTGGTTGTTGCTCTTATATATCGCAATGGATCAGTATAGTCTACTTCTTGCACAGTAGCACGTTTTTTTCGGCTTGAAGAGCTAGTCTTGAAAGATAGAATGTTTGTGGAAGCCCTCTCAGCTGCTCTGGCTCTTCTAGCTTTTCGCTCAGGTTGGCGCCTTGATCTTACAGCTACGTTGCCAAGAAGCTGTTCCTCCAAACGCTCAAGTTCCTCATTTGTCGGATCCACATCATCAGATTCCTCTTCATTGTTATTTATGCTACCACCTTGCTTTGTCTCTTCTTCAGTGCCCGTGGATCCTCCCACTAGACCATCTTCTGCTTCCATACGTTGAACCCATTTAAGAAGTAAGTTATCAGGTTTGGAAGAAACGGATGGTTTATACTCCGGTTCTACTGGGGACTTATTTTTGGCTAGCATAGCTGCATCCTTTGCAACCTTTAAAGCTGCTTTAGCAAGGGCAACAGCTTCAGAAGCAGCAGCAGCTATTACGGCCTCTTCATTAGTAATAAGAGATTCTGTAGCTAGAGTAGCTTTAAAGCTTGCCTGATTAGTAGCATAAAGCTAATTAGCCACTGGAAAGTTAGATATATATATATATATATATTAAACATTTTGCAAGACTAAAATTTTGGAAATACTCCATAATTAAGAACTCGGTCACAACTCACAAATTAAATATCAACTCATCTGCATTTGAAGAAATCTAGAAAAGTTTACATTTCATAACAACACTGATTAACACAAACCAAAATGAAGACCAATTGAGAAAGCAATAGGAATTCTATTTACCAAGAAATCAAGCAAATAGTGACATTCAATTGCATGTGGCCCAAAAAAAAATTACTAAAAATCGTGCTTAATGTTTTTCAACATTATTAGAGTCTAGTTCTAATGCAACAGTACACAAGACAAATACAATCACAGTATATCATGCTGCACTTCAACATCAATAGGTGTGAACCCACAAATAACTTGAACTAGTTTGTCCATTAAAAACTTCAAATGCATAATTATAGGAACATATCAGTTTCAGCATACGTAACATTATGTGTTGATCAGACAATCATGGAATTGATTTAACAACTATGTCAAAATATAATTGTGTAATTTTACCTCTGTGGGTGGACCAGTTGTACCAATATATGTCCATGGTCGGTTTGGAGTGACTAAATCAGAATTAACATCTACAGGAGTTAACGCCAACTTTTCCAAACTAAGAACTGCTGCTGACCCAGTTGATAATGAGGTAGAAGGAGATGTGGCAGATAAAACACATTGTGCTTGGAAACACAGAGTTTCTCTATTTTTTGCTGCATATTTCAAATTCCAATCAAGAATCAGGTCAAAATCTAATTGCTGTAACTGTCGCAACAAACAGTGAAACAAAGAGGACCTTCCTGATCCACTAATTAAATTATGTCTGTAATCACTCTTCACACTAACCGCTTGTGAATAGTTTTGAAGCAATGCATGAATCTTGTCAATAGTATGTTCAAATGAAAGTATCACTTAAATTATAGAAGACCAGGTTTCTTCAAGGAAATTATTATCTGAATATGAAAAATGGAAGTGAACAAATGCTCAACTGAACCAATTTGGTCAGATCAATTCAATCAGTCAAAGAACAATAGCAGTAGCAAAGTGTCTAGCCATTACAAAATAGAATCAGTTGCGATTCAGCACATAAAATACAGCTAGAGAGGAAACTCGCAGTTTTCATCAAACTTTGTCGGATGAGTTATGCATGACCCTTCCCAATTACCATATATCAACTATTCAAGATTTAATCTATAACCAAAATTAATTCTGTTTTGTGCTTTCCTCATATTTTCTCTACAAATAACTAGAATCAAGCCCACAATAGCAATTTTGTTATAATAGTGTCCAGGCACAAGTAGATTCAAAATTAGAGGATGGAATTCTGAAACAAGACAAAGATCTTGCCTCGTTCAAGCTCTTCATCTTTTTCATTTTTTTCTTCAGAAGCAAAATTAAATGATTGAATTACTGATGATTCTTGAGAAAACATGTACAACATGAATAAACATACTTCACTTTCCTCTTTCAAACTCTCACCATTTTCATTTTTTCTTCAGAAACATAACTATATCATTAATGATTGTTAAGAAAACATAAACAAGATTAAGTTTCTTAGCAATATGGCTAATTGCTTATCCAATTTATCATAATTATTTTAATTTAGCTTTGAAGAAGCACAATTAAATTTAAAAAAACGTAACATAACGACTCAACTGCCAACACATCACACAAATTATGAGAAAAGACTAAACACAAATGCATAATCGTCATAATCCCCAATGGTAACTTTCGAATTATTTTCTGGTTGCATATCCCATGTACCAACTTCATGATTTAGTGACAGACAATATGCATTTAAATCCCAAATATTCAAAAAGCAACTAAGTGGGTTCTTTTCAATTAACTTTTTGCAGCACATATCAACAAGACGGGGAATGCAGACTACTCAAAACTAAAAGTCCTTAAAAAATAACAAAAACAAAGATAGATCCAGTTCAGCCTATATCGCTATAAGATCAAAAGTGTGGTCAAATGGAAAAGACAAGAAAAAACTTACAGAGATGGGAATGCGAATGAGAGTGAGTGGAGGGAAGAGCAACATGAGGATGAGTTCTGAAGTGGATAGAGAAAGTGTCGGGCTGGCACTTGAATTGTGGCAATAAACACGACATTCTACGACCCTCGTGCGGTTGTGCTCGACCACTACTATGAAGAGAAAACTGTAGCCAGCCTGTGAATGAAGCGCAATCGAGGGAGTGTCATGGGAAGAGGAAGAAGAAGGACACAGGGATAAAGGAGAAGACTTGTGTAGGGAATTGATGATAGAGAGACAGAAGATCGGATAAGGGAGTGCGAGCGTGAGCCGGTGTTTAGATGATGAGGATGAGAGAGAAACGAGCCGAGACGCGAGACACAGCCCAATTCATTTTTGCTCAGTTTTAACATTTACCCTTTTCAAGGATTACAAGAGATTTTAGATAATTAAAAAATAACTGTTATTCTTTCCTTGGAAGTGAAAAATGAAAACTGTTATTTTTTTAATAATTTTTAAAATTTGGGACAAAGGAGGCACTGCTGTATTATTAAATAGTATATATTTCTTTAGGTGATAAATTAAAAATATATTATAATAAATAATTTTATTATTGAAAATAATATAATTACCTTACCTTGTTATTCATGAATAATAAGCATTTTTATTAAAAATCAAAAAAATTCATTAAACAAGTCAAATTACTAGTTTAAAGGTTAGCGATTGATTGTATTTGAATCATAATCAAATTGTTTATAATTAAAATAATATAATTTAATTAAAATATATTATATTTAGGTGTGTATAGATGTTTGTATGACAATGAAAACAAGTAATATTTAAATAAAAGAAATAAAACATTAATGATCAAACAAATGTGACATCCAAACTTTTGATATATTATACAATATTAATTTAAAGATTACTTGAAATATCCATTTTTAAAGATTAAAATAACTTGCACGTACACAATATAATATACTCTCCGAAGTGATAATATAAGAACTTTTCTAAAAACTTTGCTTGTTTTTTTTTTGGCCTAAAAGGCTTTGTTTAATTTAAAATATAGGATATTTGGTAGATTTTAGTTTTTCAATAATATGCTTACCTTATTATATTCCATTTGAGTAATTACTGATGATATTTTATATAAATCTAATATTTTATTTATTCCACTTAATGATATAATTGAAAAGGAATAAAAATTTATAGAAACTCAAAATTTCAACTAATTTTTTTTAAAAACCTAATAATTAGTTATATTGAGTTTGGAGAAAGAAATTACAAATTCATCATTAATTCAGCACCAATTCTTACCATCATATTTAATAATTAAATTGCTAAAATGATGTTATTTCAACGTTCAAATAGGGAAAAAAATAATATAAATATCTCCAATCTGCTCGAATCCCAATCAAAATTTTAGATCAATCAAGTGATCAATTTATCGATCTGACCAGCCAGTTCAGTAAGGTTTTAACATGATCAAATGTAATATACCTTGTGGTTTTCTTAGTGGCTCTTCATTTTAATAGGGGTTTATTTTTCTTGACTTCACTTGGACTAAAAAACTCAACCAAAAGAATTATTTTGTGTCTCCTGCCATTTTTGTCTTTTTGACATGCTATCTTCATTTTTTTTTTTTGCAAATTTTTAATCAATTTCTTTTTGGGGGTTTCCCACTGGTTTCCCTCTTAATATATTGTTAATCTATTTCATCATTTCATCTCTTTTCGCACAGCTAAAAACATGAGAATAAAGGTCAGACATGTTTGATTATGACACCCATAATAATAATAATAAAATGGTCCGTTGAATGATTAGTCGATCCATCAATGACTCAAATCAATTTATACGATGTTTAAAGATAGAAATCTTAACAATAAAGTATAGCAGATACATTTCACAAGAGAGAAGGGGGGAGAGAGAGTTGTTTTTTTTTTTTTTAATTAAGCACTAGTGTAATTCAATTCAAAACACAGTTAAACATTAAATATAGATACTTTTCCTAGCGAAAATGCAAACCTTGATTCATTAATAGCCACGCTATAAGAGATGAGCCTTTTTAGCTACATCTAACTCCTGTTGGTTTTAAGAGAAGTGTTTTGTCTTGAAGCAACCACCCCATATAATTTAATTAAGCTAGAAAGCCTCATTAAATATTTGAGCCCGTCATGCAAAATTGAAAACAAAGTTTGTTTTCTCCTAGCATGGTGGGAAAGGCTCTAATTCTAGGTTGATGATTTTACACTTGATTATACTCATTGTAGTCTACATCTCAGAGTCAGAATAGTAAATACAACAAGAACAAATCTTATCATATTAGCATCCCACGATGTTCCTTGCTCTATCAACAACAAACTCTTCATATATATATATATATATATATATTAAAAAAAAGAATAATAAACAAGGCACATAAATGAAATTATGCTGATCCATTCAAGTCAATTGAGAAGGTGTTCAACCCATTGATCCAGAATAGCAGGGGAACCATACCAAGGTCTCAACTCATCATCTGAACCAACAGGTGAGTGATAAACTCCATCCAAGCTAATGTTGAGTGCACCCTCAAGATGGGCTGATACTTCCGGCACAACACCATCACCCCATACATCTGCCTGCCCACAAACCTGACAAAATCTCACGGCTTCAGTCGCCGATAATAGACCAGGCAGAACATGACAGTGAAGGATCCATAACTCATGTTAATGGCAGTTAAAGACTCAAGAAGTTATAGTTCTTGGTAAAGACTGTAAATTTAAATCAACTTGATCAACCAGATTTTAAGGGTGTTTCCATACAAAGATAGAAGCAAATTTAGACCATGCTTGTAATCCTGAAAGAAATCATGTTGTGACGTTAAGTAATATGATTGATATTTATGAAGAACCTATGGTAATTTATTTCTATGATCCTTAAGATAAATTTTAATTATTGGAGTCCTTAACTGTCGTTAAAATAAGTTACAGAGCCTTCATCGTGATTTTTCTTAACTGATTTATCAGTTGGATTGGAGGATGGAAATTCAAATACTTATAGCCACGAGTAAACAAATAAAACAATGGATAGAACTTAATTTCGGTCCTCCGCAAATAACCTCAAAATCAATTGACTCTGAAAGATATTATTATCTCACTTCGATACTCGAAATTTGGATTTAGTTCTAATTCCATCCTTCAAGAAGTAGTAAACTAATGACACTACCAAACTTTTCAAAGAGCAAATGATACTATACAATATTGGGAGGAGAAAATGTTTTATAGGGTTGAAACTAAATCAAACTTTCTAGTAATAATGTGATTAAGGGGCCAAAAAAATCAACTCGGAGGAAGCCAATTAATATTGGGATTATCACTGGAGAATGAAGATGAAATTTTACTTTAAAATTATTCAATCACCTGCTTGTACCCTTGTCCAACAAAGCGAGTTCGTAAAGTTGTTGTCATAGGTGGAGAATTGCCTGAAGCATTCATAACAACAGCTTCAGGAACTGGCTGAGAACCATTTATGGGAACCAGAGACTCAGTTTTTGCATCTGACTGGCCAAAAAACTGAGCCCCTTCAATATATCTGCAAATAGCTCTACTCAATTAAATCCATATTGCGAATCGCTCTTTGGGTTTGGACTATTGAAGTTACACTGAAGATAACGAAGATAATGAACTCTTTACAAATATTTTAGGTCCACAAATGTTACCAAAATAGAAGCCTTAAGATTTAATTCCCAACTAATACACAACAAATCAAGGTGTTACTAACACAGTCAAATACTTCAAGATTCATATGTATTGGAAAATCCATTAAGGCATATCTGTCTGAAGGATCACAAAGCTGAACATCTTTTTAGGGAGACATGACAACTCAATGAAAATATCTTAATAATCAACAGCTGTTAAAGCATTTAGCAATTGAAGGACCAAGCAGAGAAAATAACTTCAAACTCATCCAACATATAAATAACTCATTCAGCAAAGCACAAAGAATAAGTTTACCTTCCAGCTATACAAACGTACTTCATTTGAGGGGTGTAACGAGCTTTAGAGCAGTTTTGTTCAACATAATTCAGTAGACCCCGTGTTTGATCAATAACACCAGGCGTCCCCTTTGGAGGTGGGCTGAGAAAAATATTGAAGGAAACTTCATCAGAATTTTATGATCATGAACCAGGGTAAGTTAGAAAATTGTTTCCTTCATGTTTGAATAATTAAAGGAGTGGATGTAAATTTTACTAGTCAAAAAATACACCTTGTCCCATTTCATCTCTCACAGCTTTAACTTCTTTTATCAGTCCTCCAATCAATATCTTCTTTTTTCAAATTCATCTCTACATCAAGCTCACAGGCAGATAGTAAACAAAGAAGGTTCCTGTGGCCTAATGTGAAGTTAATGTTGTAGTTAAGTTTTCACTCGGCTCTAACACTATAAGCCAAGAAACTCAAAATGGCGCACTTGGTAATTAGCCAATCATTCAATGCTTCCACATTTTTAAGCCTAGTAACCACTTAAAATCACATCATCTTCGCAATAAGTTGTGTTACCATCTCTGTGAACTAACGAGCTTAAAGTTTAGGGGACCAAACTAGGAAAAGAAGAACCTTTTTAGAACTAAAAGATCACAATGCCAAATGTATTAATCATTGTTCAACTCCAAACAGTTTTAGGGGATCAAATATCAGCAAGCAAGGAAATTACAGGTGAGGAGTTCCAAGAGTCAATAACAAGGAAATGTGAGACATCCCAAATTCTTCCAAGTACACACGTGCAAGCCATCCTCCTGCTGAGTGTCCAACCAAAGATAAAGTTGCACCTGAAACAGGATTATTTATTGGGTTTCAGATTTGTAAATTGATGATGAGCAAAGAAGAGACGATGGGGAATTTAAATGTTCTGTAATACAGAAAAATCATAGGTGAGGAAGAGAATGAATAATTGCTCTAAATTTCATGGTTCACCTGGACTTAAGTTGGCAGAAAAATGATTATTTGCTAGATAGATTTAAAATAGTAGTTTGAAGTGTTTATCTTTCCATTCTAACTCTATCTGGCCTCATGCTTTCTCCACAGTTATAAGACATACTTGAGAGTTGTGCCATATGAAATATCACAAAAGATAAATCATTTCAGAATTTTGTGTATATACGTTATCATTTATAATTATTTTTTATGTTTTTACAATCAATCCAGCAGTGAAGTTTGTGAGTGGATGGCAGCACGCCCTAGTTGCAGATATACTTTCTGGATCTGGATAAAATGATCCGAAGCAAAAATTGCAAATGAAATTAAACAAGAAGAAATGCAGGAAGCAGAAATTATAAAGTAAAATTACATAAACGGTATATGTTTATAAGTATGTTACATGTTAACATTTACCATCCAAGAGATAAAAGCACCAAGCGGAGTAATAAACTCAACTAGTTGAGCAACCAAACAAATTAATCAATAATAAAAAAATCCTAGTTAGTTAATAAGGCTATGATTCTACAAGTCATTTATTCAACTCAAAGAACTATACGGAAAAACAAATTCAATATCAAATGCAAAAGGCCAGGTTATACATCAACCTTCCGCCAAATCCTTCGCCTCCTGAACAGCATCATGAACCCTCTTCAAATACCTACATAGGACAAAGAACAGTTTCACACCCAAATGATTAACTAATATTTATTGGCCTGCACATTATGAATCAGTTATGCTTCAAAACTAAAATCTGTGTCCGACACTCATTATAAACGTTCTATGCTTCACTCTTAGCTTGCATTGGAGAGAAAATTAACCTTACCAATCCAGCACAGGCCTAGGTTTAAGAGTGCCCCGCCAGTAATCGGGGTCCACCAAACCAGCGGCATTCCTTAGCCAATCAATCCTCGATACCTTAGCCACCACCGTGGGCACGCCATACTTATCATTCAGCGTCTGAACCAACTTCTGGTAGTCACCAGAATTGTTCCCTAAACCCTGAGAATCAATCAAGAAAACATCATCAGCACATTATTACCCACCAGATTGCCAAACGCTTAAGACATGAATTTAAGCTCAATAGTAGTAGAAAAGTATAGAAAGATCGATTTCGAATTCAAATAGAAATTCTTAAACCATAGAAAGAGGCGCAAAGAAGGACTAACAGGAAGAATAACGGCGGGGCGATAGCTGGAGGAAGAAGGTGAAGCTTGGGATAATGGGGTTGTGCAATGCGTTCTCTGAGGGGAGACAAAGATGGGGCCACCCATTTTGCTGAAGCGAGCAAAGCATGAGGAGGAAAGTGTCTTAATGCTCAAAAGAAGATAATTTGAATTCGAGGTCCAAAATTGCTAGCCAGAAGTTCAAAGACACAAGAAAGTTGCGAAGCACGTTTTGGTTTCGAGGCGCCCAGTGCAGTCAAAGAGATCACAGCCGCTCGTTTGATTCTGGTTTGCTGTCTCTCTTCGACCAACATAGTGGCCAAACGTGAATGGAAAAACATCATTTGGGACTGGGGAGAGAAGATTCTCTTAAATAATGTTCAAATTCTTTGGAGGATTAGTTGCAGGGTTACCATAACAGATGAAACCTTAGGCAATCATAAAAAATATATTGGCCCAGTGCCAATACGGGTCTGAGGCTCCCTATGTTATGTAAATTGTGACTTTGAGAGATCATTTATAAGAACATGGGGCTCCATGTTATGTAAAAAGATAAGACTTATATATTTATTTTTATATATTTAATATATTTTTATTTAATTAAATTAAGATATGTAAATTTTAATATGTTAATAATATTAATAACAAAAATTTATTATAAATATACATATTTTGATTTAATTAAAAATAAATATATTAAATATATAAGTTTAAATATATAAGTTTTTTTTCTTGAACTGTCCGAATTTGATCCAATAAGTGAGGAATAATTAGAGTTAGTTTTATTGTTTATTTTGTTGACTTGTAATCTTGTATTGTGTTAGTCCGCGGGCTACATAAACAGACCCAATATCACTTGCATTGTTGTCTCAATTGGATCGATAAAATATTTCGATTCTCTTTATGAGTCTGGGTTCATCAAAACTTTGCATGACATTAGAGCTTAGTTTGGTATCTTTCAAGCTTAAAGAATCACGTTGAGTCCAAGGTGGCCGTTCAAAAATGACGTCAAAAAAATACTCACACACAAACATTTAGCTTTTTTCCCCCCTTTTAAGCCAAACAATAGAAACTTATGTTAATAACCAAGCCCAAAGCTTACAAATCAAATCATAGATAATAATAAAAGAAAAAATATAGTTTTTAGTTCTTACATACTTTGCTCGTATTTTATTATAGGTTTTTAAACTTTTTTTTTATATTTTGAGTCCCTATACTTTTATTTTCTATTATTTTAGGCCCTTAAATAAAATTAAACAAAGTATAGGAACTTTAGATAAATATAAAACACTAAAAAATGAAAATATAGAGACCCAAAATATTAAAAAAAAAATACATAAACTTATAGTAAAATATGAGCAAAATATAAGGATTAAAAGATATGTTTTTTCGTAACAAAATAACCATGGACAACAATATCAACAAAAAGGAAATTGAGAAGCAAAGTACCACTAACATAGAGCAATCCTAGCCAACTTCAAACTACTTGCTAGTTGCCAAGAAAGTGGCAAGTAGGCAAGGACGAAAACAGGGGAGGATTAAGTAAAGTCACAGCTTCCCTAACTTTTTTTTTTTTTTCAATCCCCTTTATAAGATGAAGGAGTTATATATTTTTGGGCAAGTAGGAATGGGATCTTAAGCACCTAATCAACCAAGCACACCCACTTAAAAGCTATGTAGGATATGAAACCTATAGCTGAACAGAACTTGCATTTCACTTAAAACCATAAAGCCATAGGCCCCTTCTAAACATAATATAACCAGGAAAATAGGTTGTGCCAATGGAACGCAAACAGATTCTTCTAGCTCCCTCATACCTGTCATGACAATGACATGAACCGGCAGTTTATTTTCAAGAGGAATCTATTGGATATTTTAATTATTTAATGATATTTCAACATGAGTTGTCGTTTTGATTGTAGATATTAATTATACTATTTTAGTCTAATTATTTTACAACAAATCCCTTTAAGTTTGAATTTTGAAACTTCCTTTTATTATCGTTAGTTACCTTGCCAGAAACAGTCCTCCCTATTTAACTTCTGATTATTACATTTTAATGGGCCATTTAACTTTCTTCCAACGTCCGGGGCTGTTCACTTTAAATGGTTTTTTGTTATGTTCAAATGGTGGTGTGATTGTCCTTTATTTACTTAGCAATGGTGGGTCATTGGTGCTTCATTTTTTGTTCAAATGTATTGTCCAGATTGTTCCTATAAATACTAGTGTGTACACATGAGACAGGGCTTCACTATCCTAAGTTTTTGGGCGCTCTCCTCTCTTTTTTCCTAATACTTCTCTTGAGTTGTCCAATATTTTTGCTGTTTTGTCACCCTATTCATTCTGTATTAAGGTTTCACTTAATTCTAGAGAACTCCAACAATTATGTTGGAATTACTTTTAAGGATAGTGTATTATGACACAACTTGAATAGATTTTCTACACAGCATATAAGCCAATAGAATCTACTACAAAGTCATCATTTATTTTACCCCAATAAATCTAATGGTTCGTTTGGATTAATGAGGATTGAGATTTGGATTTGAATCAAATCCTTTATTTGGACACACAAAAAAATATGAATTTGAAAATTCATCTCTTATTATAATTTTTTTGTAATTTAAAATTCACTTTAATACCCTGATCATTTGATATTCTAATTTTAATCACTTTAAACATCCCATTCTTTTTGTGTTTTTACTATTATACTTTTATAACTCTCATATATTTTCTCATCTTTTGTCAATTAAAAAATAAAAATAAACTTGTCATTCTCGATTTTTCATTTTCATTTTGAATATTAACTTATTTCTCATCATTTAAAATTTTTGAAACTATCCAAACAAAATCTTTTAAATACATGAATTTTCAATGTGGGATTTGAAATGAAAATTTTCAAATGGAAAATATGAAATCAAATTCATCAATCCAAATGTTACCTAAATGAATTTGCCAAAACATAGTCAAGATCCCATACTACTCACAGCAAGAAGCACGCAGATACTTCTATGTGCACTAATATATGTCAGATCATGACGAAATGTGGAATTTGAGGGAAATACAACATTACCATCCACCTGAGATGTTAACGAAATCATTGTTGGAAGGCCTCTAATCCCTCAAGAGAGGACGACTTTATAATCTGGAGATTGTCTAAAAATATGCATCTCTTGTTCTCATTGAATGTTCTACAGACGAAAAACAAAAACCATATTCTCTTTTTACAAAGAGATGTAAAAGACAAAGTAGGAAGTTCGTGCACTGCTAGAGCTTTGGTCTATGTGGCCACATCGTTTTTACCAACACACAAAAAGTTGTGCATGGAAGGTCTGAGTATGAAGATATGAAGAGAGTTTCAAAGGTACATGAAATCTTAGTGGTCTTTTCTCATAAGAAGGTTAGGTCTAATCTGGATATGGATAGCTCAACATATCAACTAGTTAGAGCTGTTTGTAGAGAACTAATTAATTTGAAATAACAAAGAAATATGGATCTAGGTTAACCGACTATAGAAAACAAGATTAAAAAAAAAAGGTCATGATATATAATGATTCTGCTAAAACTTTGTCGATCTTTCATTATCAATGCGTAACACTCATGAAAATACCCGCTATGTGATGGACTTTATAAGAGAAATTATCATGCATGGCTTGTTAATGACTTGTAATTAAGTTTTCATGGAGATTAATGCCTATGCCAATTGGTTAGCACATAACTTACTAATGGACGATGAGTACACAATTTTTGACAAACCCATTGCCCTTGGACTGTAAATGTAATGATCTAAATCTCTTGAGAATGAGAAGTGATATACATAGGGAACATAATGCACAGCTATGCCATCCTCTTTTTTTAAAATACAAAGTAAAGGTTTAAAACTGAGCGGAAAAAACGAAAATATAAAGTAAGATCTTTTGACAATAAATATACACATCCAAGTGATCAGTCATTTAGAATATTAATATCAATATTATCCTGATGAGTGATGAGCAAGGCCACTTGGCAAAGCCTTCCCTTTTTATTTAAAGAATAAAAAATAAAAATAGTTATATTTGTCCTACCTTTCAATGTTGCAGAAGCCTTCACTGGTGATGATGTCAAACACAAATTTCTCATCTTTTTCTTGTTTAGTAATTATTGACTTTTTTGTAATTCAATCCATTTCCCTTTTTTATTTTTATGTATATCTTGTCATTAATCGAGAAATTCTAACTTGCTTTTTCCATTAAGATGCAAAAAATTGGGTCTCCCCGAGTTATTCACAACTTCTGTAATTGATCCGGTTTCACCGTGAATGTTCAAAAATCTTTAATGGTAGCTTATAGATGAAATGGGAATTGAACCTGTTGATTCTTTTAGAAAGTAACTTGGTACTTGGATTGATGCATCAAGAGATAAATCTCTTGTTTTTTTCCCCCTCAAATCATGGAATCTATTGAGAAGAGAATTGCTTCGTGGAAGCCCAAATTACTATCCCCATTTCTTTTACTAAACAGGATGATGTTTTAATTTGGGAATCTAGTTCTTATACTGTGAGTGATGGTTTTACTTGCTCCTCTTCTAGAGCTCACAAAAATCCTTTGTAACTTTCACATGGAAACTTAATCTTCCATACAAGACGCTCCTCTTCATTTGGAAACTAGTTCATGAGGCTCTACATACTGGGTATATTCTATGGAAACACCCTCTCAACTCTACTTTACAATGTGTTTTTGTACGTGACTCTCAGGATTCTTTACCTCACATTTTTTTTGTGATTGTCCCTACTCTATACCATTTGGTTTGGCTCCTTGCCCATTTGCTCTTCAAAGATCTCCAAGTGTGGTCTCATTCAATGGATTCTTCGGGCATATAAATCTCTGTATCAGAATCGAGGAATACAAGCTCTGGAATGCATTGATCTTCTAATTCACATGATTTGGTTCGATAGAAATCAGGCTTTACATTCAGGGAAGATAACTCCGGTTGAACAAGTCATTCGAAGCTTCCATGGTCAGTACCAGTTCCTCTCTAGTGCATGCAGTGGGGGAACTAAAGGAAAAATAAAGGAAAACTCACATTCCAGAAACACTGATAGAGAATATAAACTTCAGTCTCAGAGTTATAATCAATTTAATTTTCCCATTTAGGAAGCTAGTCTCAATCTTTTTAAGGAAAGAAAAAGAACTTACTGTGGTGCTTTTCTGTCAATCAATGGAGAGAGATTGATCGAGTTGCTGATATGTAGATATGAAGTTACTCCTTCTCATCTTTTCTTGTCCCATTGCATCCGTGGAATTTTGCTCTAGATTTTGAACTTTGCTCGGGCTCATCTTGAAGATTCGTCGAGCTTAGGGATTTTGAATGTCCTCCGTAACAAAGGAGCCTACAATTCTGCATGGAATTATCTCATTGATCAGGACATCTTCAATCTTTTACAGAGCTTTCACAGCTGGAGCATAAAACTTGCTTGTCCTGACATATCTTTTTTACCTACTTTTGTTTTTTCTTCTTGTTTAGTTAATCAGACTTTAACTTCCTGTAGACTTTTCCACTTTTGTTAATATTATTGTCTTTTTACCAACCAAAAAAAAAAACATGGTATCTGGTACCTCAGAAAATATATTTTTCGATGCTCTTATATATATGAACTTTAGTTTTAAATGTGATCTTGATTTACAATGCATCAGCTTATGTGACTTTGTGCATATATAAGGTCCTACATTATCATCAAATGTTTGGTTTAATTTGAAAGAATTATGCCAACTTATTCTTTAAAAACATACTAGTGGTAATTTATTCTTTTTATCCATGAAGAAAAAGTACTCTCTCTCTTTAAAAATAGAAGGCATTTTTAATTAAACTTCACCCCCAATAAAATACTTACTTACCTTCAAACTAACTTTATTTTTTTATATTTATCCCTATTAAATACTCGACAATAAATATAAAGTCATTCATCAATAGAGATACTTTTTTAAAAAAATACAATAATTATATTTCGAAAGATTAAAAATACCTTACATTTTTAACATACAACTCCTCCAAAAATGCCTTACATTTTTAACAGAGGAAGTGCTTTTTATGATTTTAAATTGTCAATTTCTTTAATTGAAAATCCCCACGTATTATATTTTCACGAATATTTTCTTTTTGACATACTATTTCAAGAATATATGCCTGACACGCTATAATATTTAATATTCAAAACAAAAGTAATATGGTGTCTTATATTCCAAATTGTATGGTGCATATTAAAAAGCTCTAGGAAAAACAAATTCCTACGCGTTAAAGCAACGCATATCGTTTCACATCATCAAGAGATAAAGAATAACCGAATACGAATCTCTATATAAATGACACACAATCAGAATATATAGCAATGCTTATAAATTATTTCACTGACTTCCCGACTTCGAAGACTCTCAGATAACACAGTGCCTCAATTTCGAAGAACCAATATTGTAAGCTTCTTCTTGCAATTTTAGTTTCCTTAATTTCCTTCATAGTTGTAATATTAGATCCGCATTATTGTTGCTGTGTTTTAATTTGGGTGTAAAAATATATATAACTTCGTAAAACGTGCTTTTAAAAATGTAACTTATACATGTTTTTTTATCTGCTTATAGTTTTAGAGATGATTGTTATCTGGCCATGAAGAACGAGCATACACATGCATGTCACATAGAATCGAGTTTGTCATAAACGGTGAGAGTCCATCTCAATCATTCATTTGTAACTTGGAAAAAAAATTAATGAAACATGACATTTTGATTCATACAATATGGGACATTTTTTTTTTTTTAATTTTGAGCTCTGGTATTCTAAGTCTTTGAAATAGACTAATTCGATTAGCACTGAAACTCAAGATTTTTGATTAAGTTGAATCAATAACTCCTTTACTGGTTGATCTAAGTACCTAGTTGTAATATCGAATGTATATTTAATAGCTCTTATTTAGTTATCGAAGAGTTATATGAGAATTGAAGAATATATTGTTTTTTTTTTCCCTTGTGTTGCTAATTGAGAATTAATGATTATATTCAGATAAGAAGTTAAAGGAAGATGAGTTACCAGTATCCGCCTCCAGGAGGGTATCCTCCACCACAAGGGGGCTATCCACCGCAGGGATACTCATATCCTCCTCCTCCTGCTTATCCTTCTTCTGGATATCCTCCGCCTAATTATGCTTATTCCGGTTCTTATCCATATCAACAAGGTATGCTTTCTCTTCCCATATTAGATTGTGTGTGTGTGAGAGAGAGAGAGAGAGAGCCAGTACATGCATAAAACCTTATTCTTTCCGTTTAAACGCATAAGGCATTTTGGGTTTTTTAATATACAATTAATAATTTTTTTAAAAAAAAAGCATAATAAGAAGTGTACTTAATAAAGTTTTCTAATCAAGACACCTTATTGAATAAAGATAAATATAAAAAGAATATAATGTTAAAAATAATTAACTAAATTAAAAATATCTTGTAATATTGAACGGGAGAGTATGATGCAAATTTAATAATATTTTCTTATTAGATTCTTTACCATCATACACACACACACGAACACACACAATAACAGATGAATATCTACAAACCATTTCATCTGCAATAACCATCCATGTACCATATCAATCTAGAAATATAGTAAATCTTACTGTTCATAAACAATTAACATAGGTGACAGATTTTTTATGCATTATATACATTTAAAAAATGAGCAGGTCGTTGTTTATGAATAATAAGACTTATTATAAGTTTTAGATCAAATGATTCTTTTAGTCCTTTAATTTCATATAAAGTTTTTTGTATTTTGAGTCCTCTAACTTTAATGCTATTAGTTTCCTTAACAAAAAAAAATGTCAGCATTGTTATGCCAAGAAACATGTCAACATTAAAAATTTAAATGTTGACATAGTAAGTTTAATGTTTTTTAAAAAAATAACAATAATTAATACAAAAATATTTATTTGAAACTAACAATATTAGGGTTGTTAGGGTTAGAAGACTAAAAAATATTTTATAAAATTAAAAAACTAAAATAAAATTTTATATAAAATTAGATGAATAAATGTACACTTTTGCCAACATATATATAAAAGATAAGTGACATATATCGATTCAAACCTTGCAAACAAAAATCTCATTTGCAATTGAGAGTTATGTTTAGAACTCAAATGTCTTATCTACAATTAAAACTTATAAACTTATAATTATTTGAATTGATATTTATAAATTATTTTTAGAAAATTTTATAAAAAAACATAACTAACATTAAGTCATTTGTTTAAGGTTTATCTATCATTCTCTCAAAAATTTAAGGTTAAAATTTAAAATACCAAACACCTCTTAAATCCATTTGACTCTGAAGGGTAGGTTGTGAGGGTAGATCAGAGAAATTTCCATTGAAGACTCTATAATGATCTTTCCAACACAAAAGCACCTCCTGATCACTTCTCCGCAACATACCGCAAGGATCCAAATCACAATTAATCGAGGTTTTCAAAAAAAATTACCCAAACAACATAAATGGGCTTCATAATTACTTTTCTGAGCTTAAATGAAATTTTTTTACTACTAAACCAAACAGGGTCTTACTCAACTAAGCAGATTACCCATGTTAATATACTCATCCTAAACCTCTACATCCTTACACATAACCCAAAAAGTGTGTTGGGATTGATATATTGAGAAATTAATGATATGAGATATAATTGAGTTTTTGAGTTGATATGAGGAAGTTGACCTTGTTCATACATGTGAAACAAACAGGGTATCATCATGGAGGCACTGGATACTATGGGGGTCAACACCGTTTGGGTCTCCATGGAAATGGTGGTTACTACAATCACGGTGGCTACTATGGCCATGGTCACGGTCATGGCAAGTTCAAGCATGGCAAGTTCGGAAAGCACGGTGGCAAGTTTAAGGGTTGGAAGTGAAACATTCATTAGAAATACCCACAAATGATCTGTATTACATAATGATAACAGTACTGGCCTGAGCTTTCACCCTCGTCTTCACTGTTTCATGCATCACCACCCTACCCTACTGATTGTTGCTTAATAAATTCTGTAAAATAAGCCACAACACACCTTTGTATGTGGCATGACATTTAGCTTCTTATTAATACAAATCGCTGTTTGCCGTAAGGAATGGTGTTTCTCATGTTTTGAATGGTATGTTTGAATGTGAACATGCTTTAAGAGACATATCAACAAACTCACTTTAATTCTTATTGTAAGATATATTTAACCGTTCACACATTTTAAGAGAAGTTAATTTTTTTACTATTATAAAAAAATGAGATATTATTTCATTATGATTCTTGACTTTAAATAATGATACAATTACATTAAATATTTTCACATTAAGCAAGAAAAGGTAAAATTGGAAAAGTTTATAAGGTGTCCTATATTTTGAATTAAAAATTGTTTTTAAAAAATGTCTTACAAATAGAACCGTACATGTGTAGCAACTCGCAAGTTACAAATTCTGAATGAAAGGAGGTAAATTTTGCATCAAAAACCAAATTGTATATTTCCTCTTGGAAGAAAATTTAATGACACAGGGCATGCCCTGAAGCTACTCATTCCTATCAATATTAATGAGCACTTCGGCTGGCCTACCCACAGATTCAATTTAAGAAATTGATCTTACAATGTCAAGAAGATCCCATTCCGCAAAATTTATTGAGAGGAAACCAAATGCCAGCCAACTAGCAAACAAAAGTAGGTACAATATAAAGCACGCCAACCACTTCATTCATCCAGAATAAAATTTGTGCACAATTTAATGATGTATAACCTAGAATCTTTGGTATTGGTGCTGCTTTGTTTTCTTTAATATATAATCCAGTATGGCTGAAATATAAAAGAGCAACACTCCATTTAGGGAATCCTATATTTATGACATACCAATCAATTTCAATTGAAAATATGTCAAGACTTTAATTAATCACAAACTAAAATAACTAAGCCCGTAGGCCTTGATTAACACAATTGAAGCTCAGCCAAAGTTAATATTTAAAACTTTTCAGCAAAATAATTGTTGTTATCTTGCAAGTACGCAGGCCAGGTAATATTTTTATCAGTAGGTCTGTAATTGTAATATAATAAAGTAACCATATTAAACATATTTTAACAAAACAGCAATATATTTTCATTAACAAAGCTTACATCCTCCTTGTACAACCTATTTGCCAGATCAAAACTCATCTCTAACTTAGAATGTCTGAATTGAGAATCAAGCATCTTTCCCGTGACTTGGGTCAGATAGGCCGCTGTGTGCAAATCCATAGCTACCATCTTGTTGCAAACTCATATCATAAACTTCAGACCCTGTATCTTTAGGTTCTGGTGAAGCATAGGGTGAAATCCCCCTGTTGTAGTCACGAATGCCACTATTAGGAAAGGAACTATGCCCTCTCTGCTTCCTTCCAGATTCAACTCTCCCTAGATATCCATTTGAACCATCTAGGTTTCTGGACACAGACTTTCTTCTATTCCCCCTCTTCCTAAATTTTCCATCAACCCCCTTATTAGCAAAAGAGTCTGAGTTCATTGAAGAACTCCCAGAATATGATCCATTTTCCTGATCAGATAACTCCCCTCTCTCAGTGTTCCTTTCTCCAAAGGACCTACCTCCAAATTTTCTTACAGATGATTTATGAGTTCTCTTCCTCACCTCATTACCTGAAAAATCCTTGTCAGCTTCTGATTCTGAACCCCCCTCAATGCTATCCAACTCATCAGGATCAATTCTCCTATAAGGTCTAATACTGTGGACAACCCCTTTGGGAAAAAATCTTGCAGAAGGCAACTCATCTGGGGTTTCAAACAATTGTGGTCCATCTCTCTCTGACCACATATCGAACCCACCGGGCTTTTGAAACCTATCAGCTAATACCTTCAATTGTTCATCTGCTTTGACTGAAAATAAGGTTGGGGCTCTCTCAACAACCTCCCATGGTCTCTCGAGCTCAGAAACCGCAGCCTTCAGCTCTGCCCTCTTGCGCATTTCATATATCTGTCGCTCACGGCATAGCCGAGCCTTTAGCAACTGTTTGGCTTTCTTGGCCTGCATTTTTTTCCACTGCCATTTTGATACACCTCCTGGGTAAGTCCTAGGCCCCCCACCCATACGAATGACTGTCCCTTTGGGTGTAACCATGGGTGAGCGAGAAAGGGAAAGATGGGAGAGCTTTTCTTGAAGGGAAAGGCAGCATGGACTTGCCAAAGATCCAGAGAAATTAAGCTGTTGTGGAAGATTAGGAATTAACAGGTTCATTAGGTATCCTTTCTGCGTCCTAAAATATATAGGGTTCCCAATGAAGACTCTGATAATGGACTTCCACTAGGGTTTTGATTCACAACTTTGGTAACCTCAAAATCTAACTCGAAATGAATAAATTGTCGTGAAGGATTTTAGTCCATCTTTTGCACAACCTGTCAGGAATAGAGACAGCATATTGTTTCAATCTGAACTACAATCCCACCATTGATGACATACGTTTGCAGAAAAGTAAGGCAGTTAATTTGCAGAGATAGAAGGCGCAAGCTGAACAATAATCGAGCAAATGGTTCAAACAAGTAGGGGAAAAAAAGAAACATCTGCACCACAGATGATAAATACCAGATAATAATCGAGCATACCCGAGATGAGAGATGAAAACACAGCTAGCGAAGTCGAATTCAACAAAGCAGTTCGTTATCGTACGCTCAGCGAATCAGTGGCTCTCAGCACTCAGCATGTGTGAAGGATTCTTTGTTCTCTCGACAACTCTCCTATCCGCCCTTCGGTTCGTTCACAAAAATTCTACAGTTTTCCTTTATATTTTTTTTTAGAAAAATAACAATAAAATTTTCCTAAATTATATAAATAATAATTTAATACATTTCATTAAAATTTTTAGTACTTCTATATTAATAATTTTTAAATTAAAAATTTAATTTTATTTTTATTGATAGGTTATAATTTTTTATTTAATTTTTATAATTTTTTAAAAAAAATTATTGTTCCTTAAATAAAAATTATAATTAGGATTTGTCATTTTCAGAGCTTGGTTTTTAATGATAGAAATTATACTTGAAGTTGTAATTTTTATTTAACTCTTACCATTCATAAAATAAAAGCTATTATTATTTGAGCAAAAGTTATGATTGAGACTTATTTTTTAATAATAAAATTTATATTTGATAAATTGTGATTTCTTATTTAAATCTTACGATTTAAAAAATAAAAGTTAGTATTCCTTAAGCAAAAGTTATAATTGAGACTTATTATTTTTAATAAAAATAAAATAATTTTTTTACTTTAAAATTTATTGACGGAGAATTTTCTAAAAATTCTATTGAAATTATGATATTTCAAGAAATTAAATTATTATTTATATAATTTTAAAAAAAATTATTATCTTTTTCTCTACATTTTATAAAAAGATCAAATATCTTTTTTTAAAAAAAAAAGTGAAAAGACATTTTGCAATCATATAAGCTCATGAACTATGTCCCATGAGAGAAGCTAAATTCAACAATAATAAATAAATAAATGAAATAAAATAAGAGCCTCTTTGGTTTTTGTTCCATTTTTTATTTTTAAAAATTTTTTTATAATATTATTTTTTAAATTATTTTTGAAAACAAAATAAAATGAAAATTTATATTGTTATATTAATTTAAAAATAGTTTTAAAATTAAAAAATAGATTGATAGTAATAATTGCAGATAGTTAATAGTGATAATTTATAATAGAAATTAATAAAACTAATTATATTTTATAATAATAAAATGAAATGTATTTTAAAAGGAGGCTTTTGCATATATAACTCATATTATAAGATTAAACCAAACAAACAGTCCAGTATTTATTATATTTTGCATTATAGTTAGTTTGTTATATTTGTTAATGATATTATTGTATATTATTGATAAATTTCTTGTAAATTTTTAATTTTTTAATGTAAATTTTTTATATATCAATGTGAACCAATTGAACTCTCAAATTTTTAAAAATTTGATTCATATTTTTTTGGTACAAAATTTTTTTCTGGCCAGTGAACCAATTTACATTTTAAAAACAAGAAAAATAAAAAAAACAAGCATAATATGTTTTCCATTTTTTTTAAATGAGAATAATTTTAAAAATAATTAAATCCGAAACATGAAAATAGAAACCAAGCATGTCTCGAGAAATTAACATTGTAATTATGAATATCCAAGATCAAGGATCATTGTTCAAGAGCCCGTACAAAAGTTTCTGACTATGGCAAATCATAAAGAAGAGTCACATATCCATGTTTCTTCAAGGAATTATTATCTGGATATGAAAAATGGAAGTGAACAAATGCTAAACTGAACCGAAGGTCAACATTTTTTACTCAACAAAGAAAAAAAAAAAAAAAAAGACTCCCCAGAAAGATGCAGACTAACGCCACTTGGCTCTCATTCTCCCTTTTTTTCCCCCTCCGAACAACTTGGCTTCCTTTATCATTTATTAAAAGTGAGAAATTGAAAATTCAATCAGTTGTTAAATTGGCTATGGTTAAAAATCAAATGTTTAACTTGATTGAACTAAGAGTCAAATTGAATCAAATTGATGATAATAAAATGATATAATTTAAATAAAAATACATTATCTAAGGGGAAAAAAAGTTTTAAAGGTTGTATTTTATTTTTTTTAGATATAAGGTCATGGTAAAAGTCGTACAAAGAGACCAATATTAGGTAATGTCTTAAGCCATAAGACTTTTATTATCAATGAGTGGATTGTCAAATAATCTAACATCAAAATTCTCTTTCAAAGCCTTGTGGGTAAAAAAATCAATGCATTCATTTACTTCTCATTAAACATAATTAAAAGTGATCTCACACTAAATGGTTTAAAACTAATTTTGCATTGTGAATTCCATTTCCACAAACTGAACAAATACTGTTAGATGCTGCACAATCAAGAATAACCGTTAGTTTTACCTCACCCCTAACTCCTATGGTAAGAATTGCTCACAGGATTATGTGTTTATATATATATATATATACTTTTTCCAAATCTTAATATAATCTTCTAAAAAAGTCTTGTTTAGTTTAAAATATAGTGCATCGAATAATTTTTATAATTTTTTAAACTATACCCCTATTTGTTTATTACTTTTTTTCAAAAAATAATACATTAAAATTTTAATTATTATTATCAAAGCAGTTATATAGGGTATTTAATAAAAGTAAAATTAAAAAAATGTAAACTTATTTGAGAAATTAAAGTTTCAACTAATATTTTTTTTGAAAGCTGTGAATTAATTGTTAATATCTTATATTTTAATTGAGAGAGTATATATACACACACACATATGTTTTCCCACTTTCACATGAAACTTATGAATATATCACTGTTGCCATCTGCTAGATCCATGGTATGCATTCATTCATCTATTTGGATTGACCCAGGTCAAGGTTTTGTACAGAACTCACAGAGCACAATTAATATAAGATAAATCAATAACACGAATAGAGGAATGACGTTTTCAAATCTATGGAATGGAGGAGGGAAGGAGGGAGGGGGATAAGAGGCCCATCAAGATGAAACAAATATCAAGACAAGTCATAAAATAAATTAAAAAAAATTGAGTGACTGTTTATAAAATAAGATGAAACAAACAAACCTATAATCTTAAATAAATGGGTCCTATATTTGGTTGTAGTTTAAAAATTTTATATTATTATATGTATAATAAGTTAATAAATAAAATTTAACATTAGAGAAAATAATTTTCTTGCCAGCAGGGAATAAAATAATTTACAATTATATTTTTATTTAATCAATAATATATAATTGAAATTATATAAATAATATGTTAAAATAATATTTAGTTTTATTATATGTAACTATTTTTTACAAATATTAAACTTATTATTATCTATATAAAATTAACAATTTTCTCATCTTTTGTGATTTCTTTTGCATAGCCAAGCATAATGTAAAAAAATCATGCCCCTTCCTCTCTTTTTTTTTTTCCACTTTCTCTCCTCTCGTTGTCTTTCTTCCTTCACTACCACAAAAAAGCTTCATATAGCAATTATTTTTAGCTATATATAGCTGTTTTTAACTGTTATACATTTTAGTGCTATATATTCTCTAAAATGATATATGGCAGTTAAACATTATACTTTACTTTTTGTTTCTTCCTCTTAAATTCTTGAGCTAAATAAAGTGAAAAAAAAACAGTTATTAGAGTAGTAAAAACAATATTCAAATTTAAAATTAATAACAATTAACACTAGGGTTTTCTATTTAATAATTTAAATGCAAAAAAAAAACAAAACTAGAGGTTTGGAAAATTAAAGAAGCATCATCATGAAAAATACAAACTCAAATCAGTACCACGCAAATCTAAAAAACTATATATATATAAAACCAAAGGTTACAAATATGGAACACCATTCTTCCATTTAACAATATAACCAAGGACAACGATGAGATAAAGTTGAGGGATAACGACATTGACAAGATTGGATACCACATAGACTAGACGATGGTGCATGATGTCATACATGCACATAGAATGGAGGAGAAGGAACATATGTTACGCCAAAGTGTTCACCCTTCCCTTCCATCAAGGGTAACCCCCAAATGTCCCTAGTGGAGTAAAGAGAGGGACCCTCTCGAGTCCATTTACTCCAGCAAGGGTATGTGGCAGTACATAATCCCCATACCTTTCCAATAATCAAATTCCTAAGGATTTAGCGTATCAAGTACCTTTGGGGTTCGATCTCACAATCTCTCCCACTTAACGAATAAGTAAGCAACATTGGTACCACAAAGATTATAGCCGAAGTTGATCATGTGAGTGTTGAAGATGAAGATTCAAAGTCTAGAGTGAGAAGTATGCTTGAATAACAGAGAGGGTTGAGTGTAGAGTTGAGGAGTGAGATTGCATGAGAGAAAGAGAAGGAGGGATAGAGTTGAGTGTCGTGAAGGTGAACTGTAAGGGATGGATTTGGATGTGAGAAATAACAATGAAAAAAAGAAAAGGTATGTGTGCTGTTAGAAAAAAAAAATCAATGGTTCATAGATAATAATACTATCAATCCGTGTGTTATATAAAACATAATTGTTTTAAAAGTTTTTGAAGCCAGAAAGCCATATAGTAATTCTTTCTAAATGATCAGGCTTTGTAGTCAATGACTATATAGATAGAAACAACCTCTATATAGTCTCTCTAAAGATAAATTAAAAAAGAATATAGACTATATATGGTTCTTTAAAATAAACGTAGAGTTGATAATATGAATTGAGCTTGTTAGCTCAAATTGCCAACCCCACAACAAAAAGTAGCGGGTTAGGTTAAAGAAAATGGGTTTAATTAGATGTAAAGCACTTTTGGCTAGCACCACATAACCTGAACTAGTAGCAGGCTAATTCACAGGTTGGTAGGTTAGCCCACCTATATTTTTTAAAAAAATAACAAAACATAAATGTATAAGATTGAATTTAAAGTAAAGCATTCAAAGTAAGCATAGACAGAATTGCATCTAAGTACTTGACACTTTTACATTTATTCAATTCAAGTTTAAATTATGGCAGAAAACAATAAAAACACACTACTCATATATTTAAGTGGTGATATAATATAATCTAAATGTGATCAAGACAAGATTAAATAAAATATTTTATTGTACTCTACTTCGTTATAACATCCTGATTTTTTCATTCTGAAACTAATTACTAATTAGGGAAAAATTAGTGAGTGATTAGAATTTTAGATGATAATTTGGTATTTTGACTCTTTGAAATGTTTAATGAGCA